GCCGTAGGTGTTGCATGCGCCTCGGTCGCTGAGACCAGTGCTTCTAGCTGAATTACTCCCGGGGTACGGGGCTTAGGCTCTATTAATCCAGTAGGGGGTAGGTCTGGTTCCTCCCTAGGGGGAATATCCGACAGTTCACTACCGAAAGAGGGAAAAGGAGAGAGCGTGATAGGTAGCTGGGGAGCTTCATCAAAGCTAACCTCCTCCTCAGGCCCAAGGGACGTATACGATGGAGTCCCGGTAGCCATGCAAGACTGATTATCGGTGCTGTTTCCATCACCATCCTCGCTGCTAACCCATCCCTTAACGGTCCAATCTCCATCCCAACCTGGGGTCCACCAATCTACAGGATTCGCTTCCTCGGGAACGGGAGCCAGTCCTCCCTCATCCTCATCCGGATACGCTTCATCCATGCTTCCCTGGTTCGCAGTTCCTAGCAACACGTCTACCGCTGCTGGTGCATCACCCACCCCACACTGAGGTGAGACTCCATGTGAGGGGTCCAGCGAAGGGTTAGTGACGGGTTGCGGGATTGTTGGCGCTGCTTCCGATAGTACGGAGGGTCTTGAATCGCCTGGATCTGATTCGTCCGATAGGAGCTCGGGGCACACTAAGTCGGGGGAAGAAACGGCATCGCACGGGTATACATCCTCAGCCATTAGCATGGTGGGATTAGCTGGGCGTGTGGTGATGTGGGTTAAGCTGGTTGGCGATGGGACTGAAGTAAAGTATGGTCCTCGGAGGAAATTGATAGGAATAGCGCTCCGTTCATTCTTATCGTTGGTATACTCTAACTGATTGCTATCATATGACACGCTTGCCCGGATGGGGTAAAGGAAGTCGGTGCCTAGAAGAAGATGATAGTTAAGGGCCATGCTGACGTACGGGTCTAGCAGTACGGCTAGATCTTCCGTAGATACTTGCAAGTTCCTGGCTTTGCCTGCCGCCTTGCCCTTCTTGCCGTCTGCATTCAAGAAAGTGACGTCGGCGTACTCCACCGTATCCAACAGGTCAAGCCGGCGCAAGGTATCCCGGGTGATAACGCTGTGGGAGGCCCCTGTATCGATAACAGCAGGTATGGGAACCTGTTCGCCTTGGGCGTTGGTGAGGAAAACGGTTGCCTTACAGACTTGCCACCTATGTGAGGGTGGGTCAGTCGCGAAAATGGGCTCAGCGCGGAGCTCATTAGGAAGCCTGGCGGTGCCTTGATTGATAGGTTGGCCCGCTGGAGCTGCCTCGGGTCTCCCGCCGGCATGCTGTCGTGCTATACCCAAAACCCTACTGCCTATCTTGGTGTAGATGCTAACAGGGTTGCAGCGCAGAGTAGTTCCGAGGGGTACGGAGTACTTGTTAACCTTGCTAACAATCTCCTCGGCGATGCGCCTCTCCTCCTCTTGTGGATCCGCAGGGATAGGATCAGTACGGCCCGTGGGCTCACCAGGCTGGCGTCTTGGGCGATAAGCGGCAGCACGGTCAACAGCAGGGCGTGCAGCGGGTGCTTGTTGACGTTGCTGAAACGGGGCCGGTGCCTCCGGTACTGCCGTTGTTCCAGGAGCATGCTGCTGTGATGGGGGTACGTAAGCGCGCTGAGCTGCAGGCCTGTTTGGCGGTGCTGGGGAAGGAGGTGTTACCGGGACACGCTTCCTAGGGAGGGGTACTGCGTCAAAATCAGCTACCCTCTTCACATAGGCTTCAGGGATATACATGCATTCTGGGGTATCATCCTCCTCTTCGGACTGTACATCAACTAAATGAGCGGGCTGATCGACTTGTTGAGTCGGTGAATAGTAGTGTGCTTGAGGATTTCCTTCTACTAGCAGGGTTAGACGGGCTAACTGCTTAGTAATGTTATCTATCTGGGATTGCGAAGGGGTATCAGGGGTAGCGTTGGATGGGTGATTATCCCGCTGAGCGTCTCCTGGATGCCTAGGACTCATGCCCCTGTTAGGCATACGTTCTGGAGGTCCGCGTTGCCTAAATGGGGGTGCATTACCCATCCGGTCAGGACGGAAGGGACGGCGGTCCTCAAAGTCGCGGCGTTGAGGGGGCGTCAGGAATTGGGGTGCCGTGGCTACAGGAGTGGTTGCGTGCATGGACTTAGGGTCTACTAAGTTCCTCTTTACGCCTTCACTGATGTAAATGGCATCCTTAATAGCGTTTTCTAGGGAGGAGGGCTTCATCAAATACACTTGGCCGTGGATTTCCGGAGCTAGCCCGTTCAAGAAGTTATACATGTGTATAAGATCAGTGGAAAGATCGATGCCCAACTGTGCCGCTAGGTTGCGGTACCGGTCGGCGTAGTCTCGTACCGATTCCTGGCGTTCTTGCCTGCAGCCGGTTAGCTTACTATAGAGCTCTTCCTTGTCTACAGCAAACCTCTCTATGAATGCAGTTCGAAATGTAGGCCAGGTATTCACCGTTGATTCGACACCGGTATACCAAACGGATGCATCATCGCCTAGCCGGCATACGGCTACATCCAGTTTGTCTTGGTCAGACCAGTTGTACATACGGGCAAACCGTTCTAGCTTAGCTACCCATTGCCAGGCGTTATCTCCTTGACGAAAGTTGGGGATAGTACTAATACTCGAAGGGTGAAGGGCCGGGGCTGCATTAGCGTCGCGACCTGCCATGATTCCTGTTAGATTTAGAGGGGCTTAGAGGGTATTCCCGTTAGGGGCTACTAGACCTCAAGCGAGAACCTGGTCTCGATACCACGAACGATAAACACACAACCCCCTAAAAATAAAAATTTTCGCTACTGAGGGTGGGATTGGTGTTATCGGTTTAGTTAGTGCCCAGGATTCGCAGGAGACTAGTGCCTCGCAGAACCGTATGAGGACTGCGTTCTACGATGCTCCTAAGGGATATACCGGTTATAGCTTCGCTATTAGACCGATGCTATGGGTGCGTCAGCGTTGCCTGACTTAGTTCTGAGTATCGAGATGAGAAGCTCTAAGTATCGAGATGATTAGCGACAGGGAAGGTAACGGGAAAGCTCAAGCTGTACGACCTCGAGGCCAAGCTATCTTGCTTTGGTATCACTTACTCTTGACGAGAAGGATGAGCTTAAGGACACAGGTTCTTTCCTATTGCGGGTACGCTATGTAACTCAGCGTAGATCGGTAGTTGAGATGCGGGAATGGCGACTATAAGCGTAGTTGCTTAACACAGCCTTAAGCTGCTTCTTCGGCAGAATTAAGGAGTCTTGGAGAAGATTACTCTTGTTCCTTCAAGAGCAGGGAGAAAGGGAGGGGGATAAGGCTGCGGCTGGTTTGCCTTGGGCCTTGCCTGAGACAGGGAAACCGGGGAAACCGAAAGTAGGGTTCGTCTGTCGTTACAGAGTATCGAACCGGAGACCTTAAGGAGTCGTTGAAGGGCCAGAAAGGTTTGTTGTACCAGTGACCTTAGACTGTTGTAACCTCTTATGGGTGCCACTTCCTAAAGCAAGAAAATGCCTCGCCTTTTATACTAATCGGAAGCCTGTCAACGTAATGCAACTCCTAAACAACGTAATGCAGCTTCTCAGATCGAACCTTCCACAAAGAAGCCGCTAAGAAGCTGAAGCTACAAAGAAGGTGCGTAAACCTCCTTACGTAATCTAAGTAAAAAGGCATAAAAGGCCTAATCAAAATAAGACGCATAAACGCCTCAGAAATTCCAAAAGCAAAGCACGTGGCCCGTTATCAGTTATACGACTGTACTACCTTAACCGTACAAGCGTCGCGGCAACAAAGTAAATGCATCAACTCAGCTCAGCCCGAAGGTCTGCCTGAATGTTACTAACAAAAGCCGCAGCTTCGACCAGAACTTCGCGACGACTGTTATTGTTGGACCGCACTTCATGCCAAATGCCTACAACAAAACAGCGTTGCATCGTATTGTCACATATCATTCCCCTTAATCATCCTGTAATCCAATTTCCACCAACAGTATCTTCCGTCGGAAGCATCTACTTGCATCGGCTAGCAAACAAAACCACTATTCAACTCTGCCAGCCCTCGCGACCAAAACCATATATCCTGCTTCCAATTAGACTAAAGCCTACGCCACATGTCCCCGACCTGTCATTTCGGGCTGAGTCTGGATTCTTGCCGCACAAGGTCAGTATGAATTGTCTACTGTAGCTCGTGTATATCTTTCATGTATTTGCATGTTTTCATCATCTGCTTTGCTCTGCATCTTTGTTTTCTATCCAAGTCCAATCCATTTTGACTCGCTTCGCCTGTTCCTAAAGGTATACCGTGGCGTCAAAGCATTATAACTTCTTTCATAAATACGAAACCTAGGCTTTTACGATTAAGAAGGTCAACCGGGCTATGGGCTGCCGACTCGGCCTTGGCCTTCCATTCCTTTAGGCAATTCATTTTGGTCAATGTTGGTGATGCCCGAATGCCCTACCCTAATGAAGCAGGTTAAGCCATTTGGGCCATAGCGTCAATCGGGTCAAACAAACCGGATGGCGCTATGATGGGTCTCACGACTCCACGCCAGTATTTCCTGACAGTAACTATAACGGTAGGGTTGTCCTTCTGCCACAGCGGTAAGGAAATGAAAGGGAAGGTTTGTAGAAGAAGCATGCGGACGCACATGGGATGCGAAGGGCGCTCCTCCGTGCGTACGTTACGCCAGGAATTGCTGTGGACGGGTACCAAATCCCTTTCATACACATGTTTACATGTCGTACGTCGCGTACTGCCATTTGCTACAGCACGTCATCCTCCCAGCACCGCGTTTGCAATGGTTCTAACCCAACAGGTCTACCTCCTGAAAGACCTCGGCCCCAAGGTCCGGAACCCAACACCCATCATGCAAGTCACCCCAGTCCCCGTAACCATTGTTTCCAAAGCATACCCCTTCCTCCTCCTTTACCCCGCATTTTTTGCCTCGCCTGTTGCTGCTGCCACTGCTAATGCACACGCTTCTGCCAGCTTTGCAGGGCACCAACGCATCACGGCCCAGCAGCCTCCGCAGGACATCAATGCCCGGCACATGCGCCCCCGCCTCCAGTAGCCTTTGCCGCAGCAACCAGCCCCCGTTTTTCACGCTCCCCTCACCCTCTCCACTGCATTCCTCCTCTTCACCTTTAGAGCCCTGAACTCCCATGCCCACTGCAAAACCGCGACTGCTCTCACTGCCCCACTTGTAGTGGTCCAGGATGGATGGGGTGCCGATACCCTCTTGGCCTCGCATGGGGGAGCTTGTGAATAGCAGTTGATCCTGCATGGCATGTATTAGCAGTCAAAGAATGCGGCAAGGGTTTTATACAACCGACCGGTATCTAGCCACACTCCCGGGATACCACGTGACGTGCATGTTGAACAGGATGGTACCGCGTGACAGAAGGACAGGAGCGACACAAAGCACCGATCACCGAACACCAAACAGCAGCTCACATACCGCGCGCATTAGAACCACAACACTGACCAAGTCCCAAGCAAGCGCCGGACCCATCCTAGCTACCGTTGGCCGCTCACCTCCTACCCGTCGCACCCATCCCCACTACTACCGTACTCGCCTGCAGCCGGTAGGCCCGCCACGCCGCCGCCGCAAACAGCCTACTGGCCACGTATACGTACTGCGCCCCGCCCACCACCGCGAGAGCCTCCAGGTGGTGCAGCGCGTCGTTGCCAGGGACCACCAGCGGTGGCGGCGGTGGCGGCGGCGGCGGCGGAGACGGCTGACGGGGCTGCTCGGGTGATGTTAATCCGTCAGCCCGTTGCCGATTTTGCTGTTCAAGCTGCTGCTGCTGATGATGTTCCTGTTGCTCATGACGTTGTTGTTGGTGGTGGTAGTTGTGGTGGTGTTCTTGGAGCTGCGCGCGGTGGTGGTGGACGGTGAGGGAGCAGGTCGCGGCGTGCGCCTCCAAATGCGCACGTAACGCCATGCGCATTTCAGCCCTGCCGGGTGCCTCCCCAGCTGCTGGTGCTGCCGTTGCCGCTGCTGTTGCCGCTGCTGCTGTTGCTCCCCCAGCAGCTGCGTTCGACGTCTCAGCCGGAGGCGCCCCAGTCGTCTTCGGTACACCGGCAGCGCCATCAGTTGAGCCCTGTTGGTGGCACTGCTGCGGGTGTCCCTGTTGCTGCAGCTGCTGCTGGGACGGGGACTGCGGCTGGGGCTGGGGATTGGAAGCTTGACGGGGCTCATCCTGCTGATCAGGCGCTGGTTGCGGGCCATGCATGATCTGATCCGCCAGTGCGGCCGCTACCAGCGACTGTGAAGGGGAGGAGGAGGTGTGTGCGGGCGTCAAGGGGGGGGATCGTGGGCGGGCTAGTGGCTTCTAAAGGCGTCTAGGAAAGCCCTGTAAACGGCACGTTTCCAACTACCGGTACCCAGCACTAGGCGCTTCGCTAAGCAGACGCTCACCCCGACCCCTCAACAACTGTGCGCAGTTGCACTCTTTGCACTGCTAGGGTGGCCCTACCTGTAACTCCCCGACGGTGGAGGTGAAGCACGTGGAAAGCTGAGCAACCAGCCTGTGAAAGAGGAATGTGGCGAGTCGGAATTAGGGCGCGTCTTGTCAGGTGGCAACCACCACCTGAACCTTCCTCCATGCATGTTTGTGCGTTAGGATTGCAGTCTACGCCCTTCTCCCCCTCTCACCACCAGCCCAACCATCCATGCGCGCCCTTTCGCGCCCATCCGCGCGCGCTTTGCTTTTTTACGACTTGTAGGGGGTTCGTTGGCCTGGGGTAGTCCGGTGGGGCAAGCGGCACTGCTGTCGTTGCCCGGCGGGTTTTTTGTTTGTTTGTCGTGTTGTGCTGGCGTCCGCGCCCTGTAACTGCTTTCAGTTGTTCAACCGCGCCCTTGCATATTGTCCCCTCCACCCACGCACTCACTCGCCCCCCAAGCAGCCTCCTCCGGATCCCCCGCACGTATTGCATTGCACCTCCGCCGGCACCACAGGGTTGGCTACACTGCGGTAGCCTCCTCCGTGTTTCGTAGGGGAGTGTGGGATCTGTTCTACCTACAGACCGCACCCTACGTCACCATCCAGTTGCCCCGCCCATTGCTTGCATGGTCCCACTTGTCATCTCACAACCCTCCCGCTAGTTGTCCTTACTATCGTCCTTGCCCTGCACCAATTGGCCCCATCCGCTCGATGCTATGTCCCTTATTTATGCCCCTATGGATGCCCCTCGTCCTCGTCCTCCCATCTCCCGGACTGCCCATTGTTTTCGTACAATTGCTGCCCACTCCCCTGCATTTCCCACTGCCACTTCACAGCCATTTCATACATACCCACCGCGCCGTTTTTCAATAGTGCCGTCCCGCGTGATATAGGCTTTTTGGTTCATTTATTATTACAATGCACTTTTCCGTCCTCCGCTATTCCTTCCCTAGTCCTACTACCAACGTTTCCTCCTTTCCACCTTCCCACATGTTTCGTCCCTGGCTGGCCTCGCTCTGGATTGGTCCCTGGACATGGCGGCTGGCCCTTCACGTGGTTTCCCGGTACACACCTCTTTGTGTACCTAGGTACGTGTTTTATCATGTGTCGGTCTGTGTTGTTTTTTATGAGTGCTCGTGTTGTGCTGTTCCTGCTGTTGGCGTATGCCCCACGGCGCGGTGGGTCTCCACCTCACCTTCAGCAGCCTCCACACATGCCCAAGCCTATGGTAAGGTTTCTCCATAATTGGTAAGTTCGGTAAGTTTAGCTCGCTTTGCTTTCACCACCATTTCGGCTCGACTCACGGTTCATTCCACCAGGGATTGTCAGCAACTTATATCATTATCACACCACACTTTGGAATTTCTTTTTTCCCCCCACCTGGCGCAGTCCCTCTGCGGCAGCGGGCAGTCCAGCCGCCCATGTCTCGCCAGCAGCCGGACACCCCCCGCCTCCCGCAACACGTGCTCCAGCAGGTGTGAGGGCAGCTCGCGGAGGTCCAAGGCGCAGGACACGCCGCTCAGCAGTGCCAGCAGCCCGCTGTTGCTGGTAGTACGGGTGCTAGTGGATGTGGATGTGCTGGCGCTGGTGGTGCCGGTGGTGCTGCTGCTGGCGCTGGTGGTAGCACTAGCGGTGTTATGGTCCATATTCCTGGTGGCATTGCTGGTCGGGTTGCCGAGACCAGCGGTTGCAGCGCTGCTAGGGATGCGGCCGCTAGAGGCGCTGGTTGATTCGCAGGATGCCTCCGGCGGCTGTGGTGGCAGCAAGTCTGACGCCGACAGCACGCCGCATGCCGCCGCGGATGCTACATGGTGCAGGGCGTGACCCAGCTCGTGAAGCCAAGCCTGCGGGTTGTGGGGTGGAGTGAGGTGGCGCAGTTGTTGTAGTGAGTTACGTAATGAAAAGATATTGATGTACGGGTACGGGTAGTGCCGTTTTGTTGGTTTAGGGTTCGATAGCTAAGGTAAGATGTGATGTATCAATGCAACGAGGATTCGCATCCATAAAGTTGCACTGATACCGCGTAGATATCAGTCCCGCAGATAATCAGATAGGGGTAACGCTTGTTTCCGTACCTTGAGGAAGTACGGGCTCTCCGGCCCGCCGCACGCGGATTGAGGATCTCGTCTGTACGGCAGCCGTACAACCACCACCGGCATCGAAGCGTCTTCGCCATCTGCAGCCGGGTCGGCGTCGCCAGCGGGTCTCATCCCGCCGTCAGCGCCGTGCCAGGTGTGACCCATGGGTCCGTGTCGCAGCAACGTGGTGAACGGAAACTCTCCCAACCGGCCGTGAAGGTGGAAGTAGATTAGCCTGCATGCGACCAGGATTTGGCAGGATTAGCAAGCGCTCACGAAACTCATGTGACTTCTCGTCCGCCAGGCTTCGTAGTACCGTTAGTCCATCCAAGCAAGACAAGGCCCCAACATGCATGCCCAATCTGACACCAGAGGCCACTGGCATTAATACCTAGCCCGTACCTACCCCAGCTTCCGGCCTGTACGGCAACACACGACCTGTGCCTTCATCAGTACGTCGGTGCCGGCTGCCGTACCGTCACCATGCCCATTACTGTCGCCACCACCGCCATCATTCCTTGCGCCCTCATCAGCAGCAGCCCCTGCAGCGGCAGCAACATCTTCCACAGCCTCCGCACCGCCTGCAGCGCTGCCCGCCTGATCCTCTGCCAAAGTCCAGCCCCGTGCCTCCCCGGCGGCCAGAGGCATAGGGCCCACCAGAGCAAGCCCGAACAGTGTACGGCACAACGCGTCGCTTCCCTGACCAGGTGAGGATGCAAGCATGCTTTGCCGTACAGCGTCGGACGGAAGGAGGTACGGCAAGACAGTCAACGAGCAAGCGGCTTTCACGCTCCTCTAGTTAGACCCTCGTCCCATGTGACCCAAATCGCGTGGTGTCTGCCACGCAGTGTTCTCTTAGGGATCAAGATACCGGTAAGCGTGGCAGGGCAAATGATCATTTGATAAACCAAGCCCGCACCTTCAAGAGCCCTGGCGGCGCAAAGTAGTCGGCGTAGGCAGCGCCCCAGCTGCTGTCGTACCTTGATGCCGCACGACCCTGCGCAAGGCCCTGCAAAGCGTACGGAAGGTTCCATGGATCCAGAGGGTCCGCGTCGGCCGGCAGTAAGGCGGATCCGGAGGAGGATCTGGATCGGCTGCTGCCGGGGCGCCGTACATCCCGTACGATGGCCTGGAGTTCCCTGAGTGATGTATAGGGGGTTTAGAAAGATGTATAAAGTAGAGGTCTGAACATTGGATGACAAAGCGATAGGCGCTCCATGTTGTGGCCCTAGGGCCGACAGGTCCTTGCCTCCTAGACGAAGACCAAACGAGGACTACTACAACACTTGCATGTTGATAGGACATGTACGACATGTGCCATACGCCTGCACCGCTGCAACACCCACCTCTCTCCGTACGGCAGCAGCCCCGCTCCTAGCTCCCGCAGCATCTGCGCCGCCGCTATCCCCCCGCCCAGCGCACTGCCCACACTCGCTACACCCCCGCCTCCGCCGCCGGAACCACCACCGCCGCTGCTGCTGCTGTTGCTACTGCCGCCAGCACCACCGTCGCCGCTGCTGCTACTGTCACCTGGGTCGCTGCCGCTGCTGCTACTGCCGCCTCCGCCTCCGCCACAGCTGCCCGCCACCCCTCCCTGGAGCACCATGTCGGCCCAGCTGCCGTACCCCAGGGTGGTTGCCAACTGGTTTCGAAGCGATGCCAGGTGGTCCAGTACGAGCAACATCGCGCGAGCCTGTGAAGTACGGCAGGTTCAACGCAAGCATAGGTATTACAGATGTACGGCAGCCGTACACTGCTGCATTACGGTCGTCACACTCTCCTCTACGCTTGCGCACGTCTTAAGGCGGTAAGCGTCGCCCTTGTCCACATCCGCTCATCTGGACCGTATACCCGGTCACCCCCACCTCAACCCAGCTCAACCCGGCTCACCTGTCGCAGCGGTCCTGACTGGTAGACCTGCCACCGCACGCCCTCGTTCGGGTGCAGCTGCAGCAGCCGCCCTGAGACCTCCGGTGTCAGGCTCACCACCACCAGCCGTGGACCCGCCTCCTCTCCCTCCCTCGCCACCTCGCCAGCCCTCCCCGCCCTCCTTTGCGTCGTAACGCCAGCAGCCCTGCCTTCTGGTGCAGCTTGCGTTATTGTCGTGCCCACCACGTCGGCCGACGCTGCCGCGACGGATGTACTCTTCGTCGTCGCCGCTGCCGCCGTCATGGCCACAGTCACGAGCTCCCTCGCCTCTTCAGTGGCGTCAAGTAACAGGTCGTCTAGATCCAGCGGAGGCGCACCGTCGTACAACGGAAGCAACCGCCGCCGCCGCCGCTCACCGGTATGCGTGCCATTACCGGTACGCGTGCTGCCGCTGCCGCCGTCATCTCCAGTGCCTGCGTACTCCTTCATCCACTGCCGCGCATCCACCCACTCAATCGCCGCCGCTTCGTCACTCACATCACCATCTTCCCTTTCCTTAGATGCATGCTTGTCGTACATTTCCTTCGCCTTATCTCCTCCCGCTCGTTCCGTGCTTCCGTCTTCCCCGCTGTCAACGTACGGCAGCCAGGGTCGAAGCAGTTCGTACTGCTCCGGGTGCAGTGCCAGCCGCGGTGCTAGGGGCGGCCTGCCTGCCGCTAGCCGCCTCAGTGACTCACAACATCGGGAAATGGCGACCTGGAGACGCGCTACGGAGGGATGACGGCTGCTGCCGCCACCGCCATCAAGATCCCCACCGCCAGCAGCGCCAGCTAACCCGCCTGCTCCACCCGTGCCGCTGCATGCACCACCAAGCGCTTCTGCACCCCTGGACGCTCCCTCATTGGAAGACCCCGCCTCCGTCTCCCCCGCCTCCGCCATCTCCACAGCAGTGGAACCTGTGGCTGTGGCGGCGGCAGCAGTAGCACCCCCGTCGCGGTGGCAGCAGTGGTGGCGGCGTTGACGGCGGCGGGCGAGCGGCAGTACGGTACGGCACAGCTGCCGCCACTGACCCAGCCCCGCCGCCGCCAGACCGGGATCCCTCTCCAAGTCCGCCAGCAGCTGAGACTCCAGGGAACCTAGGGAGCTGGACGGCAGGGAGCCCGGACAGCTTGACGATACGTCCAAGAAAGGGGTCAACTGATTGGAGCCCTGGCGGAGAGGGGAGTCCTCGCCCGGCTGCTGCCCCTGCTCGCGCTTATGCTGCTGCTGTTGCTGCTGTTGCATATCACCCGTAGTCTGCTTGGTCGCTATGCTGTGCATCTCAAGAACCCGTACAATCGCCGCATGCGTTGCCTCCAACTTGTCGTACAAACCAACGCTGCCGTACAGCTCGTCGTACGCCTTGTCTAAGCGAGTCACGGCGGCGGCAGCTGCCGTACTCCAGGACCGTACGGGATGGAAATCAGCGACGTAGCGGGCGGGGCGGTGGCAGTTGCGCAGTACGAGTTCGTGGTCGTGTAGGAGCGCCAACAGGGGCAGACCTGCGGCCGTGATGGATGAGAAGGTTGACAAGGAAGGAACGAAAGAGCCGTGAGACAAGGCTCTACAAAGGATTGAAGAAGCGGAGGAGGGCAAGGCAAGCGGGCTCGGGGCTAGGTGGGCAGGCCTGGGGACGTACACCGGAGGATGGAAGCGGCTTTGTCACAGCAGAGCGTTTAGCTTTAACGGCTGATCAACGTATTCAGCTGTTCGCACGAGTTGATGCCTACCGGTATGAGGGCTGCTACGTGGCAGTTAGCCGTTGCCGTATACAGGTACGTACCTGGTCCACAGCTTTCCATGCTGGCCCTGAGCTGCTGGGCCCGGTGGAGGACCCGAGTGGCCCATGGGTCGATGTCGTGCGGACGGTGCCACCCAGGCAAGCCCTGCATGGACGGAATATGTACAGATGAACGGAATACTGAAGCGTATGGCATGAGATAATCCTGGGAGGGACAGATTGCCCAAGCACAGTCTACCGCCCCCTAACAAAAGACGCCTTTACTTACCAACAGTCCAGGCTTCTTATCAGCCTCCCGCTCTGACCCAGATTCCTGCCCCCGACACAATTCCAAGCTCTGACTGGCTGCTGCTGCAGCCCTGACTGTTCTCCACTGCGCCATCCGACGCGGCGCACAAGTGGATCCTGACTGGCTGCTGCAGCTCGCATGAAGGGACGCACGTTGAAAACTGCTGCCGACCGCACTCCTGGCAATGGGCCTGGTGAGGCCAAGGCATGCTGGTGGCCTCCCTGATCGTGATGCGATGTTCGCACAACGGGATAAGGACTGGCCCGTACGTGACCTGGCGGGGGTGCCAGTTGGCGTTGCTTGTCGCTTGCTCGTAGGGGCTGCTACTGCTGCATGCAGCCGTGGCAACCGACCGCTTACTTGGCTAGGATGTTGAGAGTATGTCCTGCTGCTTGACCTCTTCGATGGGGCTGCTGCCAGGGGACGGAGTTCGGGCCGAAGGAGCATGATGCTGCTCGGATGCTAAGGCGCCGACGCACAGCACGAGGGAAACCTTGCGAAATGGTATTACCACTAAAGTAAGTTTATGAATTACTTAGAATTGCTGTCACATTTCGTTAATGGCTTTCATCTTCCTAGACTTCGCATTCGACGATTGCCTACATTTGCAAACGCGACTAAAGTGATGCTCATCAGTATATTCTATTACACTGCATGTATCAACGGCTATAAGAGAGAACGTTCAGTCATGTGGACCAGTGGACCTCAACCAGTCGTAGTACCGCAGGTAATGCATGCCGTACCGGGGGCGAGTTGCCAGCTCCTCACGGCCGTGCTCACACTACTAACTGGCCTCAATGCTCGATCGGGTAGTGTATCGTGAATGGCCCGTGGAAGAGGGACAGCAGCAGGCTTGTACGCGCCTTATCAGCAGGATCTTACACCATGTTCATGTTGCTTGCAACGGTGGCGTACAATGCCAGCCAGCGCGCGTGCACGTCTCCGTAACCGAACTCCGCCCCTCAAGTATCCCTGACTATCGTAGCCAGGATTGGATGAGACAGCTGCTCCCAACACCAACAACAAGCCGCCAAGCCCGTACAAGCAAGACGCTGAGCAGTGCAACCAACAACCACGACGTTTTCCTCGCTCGGCAAGCCACGTGGCTCACACCCAACCGCCCAGGCTGTAACCCTCCTCCTCCGCGCACATGCATACGCAGACGCATGCATCCGCTCCCACAACACCCCATGCTGCTGCCACCTTCCCTCCGCATCCCCCTGCTTCTTCCCATACACATGCTGCTGTCATTGCAACTGCTGCTGCTGCTCCCTCACAGCCCCTCCCTCACTGCACAGCGCCTCCCTCCCCTCACAGCTCGCCGCACGCCGCCACGGTGATGGGCTGCACGGGCTTGTCTCCGCGGCCGGTGGGCGAGTTCTCCACCTTGGCCACCACGTCCAGCCCCTCCAGCACCTCGCCGAACACCACGTGGCGGCCGTCCAGCCAGGGGGTGGGCACCGTGCAGATGAAGAACCTGCAGGGAGAGGAGGAGGGGGAGGGGGAGGGAGGCGGGGAAGAGGTAAGATGCGGGGTCAGAGAGGGAAGGTACGATATGGGTCCCAGGAGGGAGGGAGGGAGGAGTGAGGGAACGCTGCAGCAGCAGAAGGGACAGGGACCAGCTGTGGAATATGATAAAAGCGCGCGTCTGCTTATGCTCAACGCATTCCATACTCTGCTGTCTTGCGACTATGTAACTTACTGCGAGCCGTTGGTGTTGGGGCCCGCGTTGGCCATGGACAGGATGCCGGCACCCGTGTGGCGGTCTGGAGGGGGGCGGGGAGCAGGGGGTGAGCAGGGGGAGAGAAGGGGAAGAGAAAGGGGAGCACACATGAGGGAAGCTTAGGAGTAGAATCCAAACCGGAAGGACAGGCCTGGGACAGGAATGATTAAAAAATGGTCTCGTCAATGCTATAAGATGTCCACGTCTAAGTAAAACGCGGCGTTAGACAGCAGGATGAGCGAACCCCAATCCAACCCAACCCGACCCAACGCTCAGCAACAACACCGGTATCCCCACACGGGTCCCAACTCACACTTGAAGTTCTCATCGGGGAACTTCATGCCGTAGATGGACTTGCCGCCGGTGCCGTTGCCATTGGTGAAGTCACCGCCTGCGGGCGTGCGGGTGGGGGGGGGGCCGCGGCGAGGGGGACATCCAGCCACACGTGGGGTTGTGGGGTGAGGCGGAGTGGTAAAACACAACTGTTGTGGTGCGCTGCGGTGCGGGGTGTTTCATAGCGGAAAGCTGGCCGCGAGTCGGAGTGTATGCACTGAAGTGTCTGAAAGATGTAGAGCGGGACTGTGTGTGGCACGAGTGGCGTTGCGGGGCTGTGTGAGAGCCATTAAGGGCGACATGAATGGGGTGTCAACATGCGTGCATGCGTGAGTGAACAGAAAACCAGCAGGTGTGCCTCTTCCATTGAAACCAAGCAAACGAAATGGCGTTTCGACTCTCCCCAGCACAACAGCGTGTCAAACCAGGCTGCCCGGTCCCCCCGGCAGCTGCTGCCGTGTGTCGCACCCTGGATCATGAACTGCCTGCAGGCGAGGAAGGAATGGGGGGGGGAGGCAGGAACGGGAGGCAGGGATGCATTGGAGGAGAGGAGAGGTGCGGGAAGGGAAGCGCACCACTTTACGAACACGCCCCTTGCACGCATTGAGGGCGATTCGGCATCTTCTCTATTGAACCCTCCACACTGTCCCCGGCTGCACCCCCCCGGCCGCCGCCCGCCGGCCTCCCGCCTCACTTGATGACGCGGTGGAAGGGTGAGCCCTGGTAGCCGAAGCCCTTCTCCCCGGTGCACAGCGCGCGGAAGTTCTCAGCGGTCTTGGGGCAGTCATCGCCGTACAGCCCAATCACCACCCGGCCCGCGGGGGCGGAGCCGTTGTTGACGTCAAAGTAGACCTGGAAGGGGAGGGGTAAGAGGGAGGGAGGAGGGGTGAAGATACAAGGAGGACACAAACAAGAGGGGACTTGGAGGCGGCAGGCAGGCATGTTCGGGTACAGGACATGCGTTGCAATGCGTTGAGCGCCCACATGCAGAGAGGAGGGAGGAGGCAAAGTAGGCGAAGGGAGGTTCCATGCAAGGGCTTAAAACAGGACCAGGAAACCACCAGGGTACTCTTGGTGGGGTCCAAAGCCAAGAACAGCTCCTGCCGAGCCCCCATGCGGTGTTGCAAATGCGAAGGAAAGGGAGTGAAACGCCCGTATCCCAACGACTATTGTCTAATGCTTGCGGTGGGGGCAAAGAGGAAGAAGTAAAGCAGGTAATCCCGATCTCATGGGCTGACTCATGCGGTGGGGGTGGGCCGTCCGGGCGAACCCGACATACCTTCTTGGTGACCGCGGCGGGGTTGTGGGCGGCGCGCACGGAGACAGTCTGAGGGAGGATTGGGGTGGGGATACGATAGGGGCCAGGACTTCAGTAAGGGAGTATGCCGTACCAGTTGCAGTCTGTGCTGTGCGGGGACATGGAGGGGAATAACAGGAAGGGTGGACATGGACGGCAATGGGCAATGACGCGTGACGGTGTGAACTGCCAGGGGACAAAGCTGTCCGACAAGAATTGACGCGTCTTTTTCATATTTGAGGGGTTTATAAAGGCTTTCAGTATTGTGCCGCTCAAAGCTGCCCAAGCATGGACAATAACGCAGATCAGTCGTAGTAGGGGTTGCCAGCCCTGTGAGGCTTGACAAACTTAAGCTCAGGATTATACACCTCAAAACAACATTCAGTGGCATAATAAATGGGTCATCTGGGCTCCCCACCCCACTCACCGCGCGCCGAGCGGCGGCAGCCACGCGAGTGGCGCCGATCTTCCCACCCACACGAGAGATGGAGCGCTGCAAGGAATGCACAATTTTGCGTTATGTAATAACGGACTCGCTGATGACCTACACCAGATGTTAAGCGGATGCTGCCGACATGTCTGCAAGTTTGCTTACCAGGGCCATGGTTGATATAGAAAGTGAGCGATGTGGTGATACGGTATGAAAGTGCACGCTGAGTGCAATGCAGCCATTCCTGTGTTGGGTGCTTACGACAAGTGCCGACGGATGACTGGATTCTGTCGTCCAAGCGAAGTGTCAATTTCTGTCCCTACAGTAGAGATAGCCTATTATAAAGTTCATATCCTTCAGCCGCGAGTTTGATCTGTGGCATTTCTTAGTCAACGCAGGCACTCAGCGCATAACAAGTTCTGGGCATTGTAACACACCTCTTCTACAGTTTCCCCTTTTAACCGCACGCCTTTGTCTTCTAGATTCACAATAAGTCTTAAATCTCGTACTAGAAGTTTTGGGTTTCTTACAAAGTGGCAGGCGGTTCAATCACCATCGGCAAGCAATATGGCCCTGTGGCAGGAACTCAAAGGTTTACAGACGTAGAAAATAGAACATTAAGCTCTGCGCAAGCAGGGCTCTGCTGGTGGTGCCCTGCTTTGACGCAAGGACATCATGGAGATGGAAAATGGGCCAGGCGCTACCCCAGGGACGCCTACCCAGGATCGAATCACTCTACAGCCGGGGCAGCTCTCAAAGCCCGAAAAGGTGGGGATGTCCGTAGTTAGATCCGACCGTTGTCCCGTTGGTACGACAACGACTGGCCGACGTTGAGCTTCTTTGGCTTGAGAGGGATCCAAGGGTGCGCTTGATGGGTAGACCGTTTGCTTGCATGGGGTAACTCGCGATGCAGGCCATGTGTTTGTATGCGTACAGTCGAGAGCTGCATGGGAGTTATGGTATCTCGGATCAAGGCACGATACTGTGTAGGCACGAGACTGTAGTACTAACTTTTGGAGGGGTGGTACAGCACAGAGAGTAGCATGGCAGGTTGGCAACTTGGCAGTTGCAGGTTCATCGCATTCCGGAAGGCCCCTTCAACGCCAACACAGCGACGTTAATAAAAAGGCAATGCTACAGACCCATGGTTCATCTTCCCTGTGCCCCTGTCTCCCGCCCGTTTTGCTTGTACGTTCCGTGCATGTACGGCACGACAAACATCAATGCCCTAAACCACAGGTTTGGGTGTCCTCCTCAGCGCTCATCATCGGGTTCTACCAGGCGGCGCCGTACAGCGATGCCTTCAAGATATTATACAAGGTAAGATGGTTTGCAGAGGCGAGGATGCAGCATTAGGGAGGGTGCAGGACTGCCGTGGTACGCACATGTATGGGGTTCGTTGCTTCGGCAGCGTTGCCGTTGCCGTTGCCCCCTTTGCTAGTCAAGGGCCATGGTGGTGGCCACCTGCCGTACAGCAGGTGGACATGATGATGAGGCGAAGGTCGTAGTCACCATTGACGCACCGCACTCTTGCTTATATGAGGACTGTCCTGAGTGCCAACAATAGCAAGAGCTTTGCCTTACCGCACTTGTGGATACCGTGCCGTACCTCTTGCTGCGTGTATATCTGCAGAAACCGGGTGCTATATTCGGCACCCAGATTACCCTTACACCCGCCTCCATCCTGGGTCCGGAACTGGCTGTACGGCAACCCATGGCGGGCGAAGTGCAGTACTTTGAGGTACGTACATGTCTACGACAGCCGCATCGTACAGCTGCATCTTGACACCTGCAACAGACAAAACACGAAGGACAGTAGAGCACTGTATACCGCCACCGGGCAAGCCCAAGCTTTTCATCCCGTCTTCCTTTGCTGCGTTCATGATCAACGTTGATGCTATCGCCATTGCTCGTCGCTTTCAACTTGCCTACCGTACTGCATCTTGTACTGCACTTTGTACGGCTGCAGTACGAGATCAAAAAGCTGAAGCCCAGCACGCAGTATGTGGTGAAGGTCAAGACGGGCGACGACGCCACGGAGGTTCGCTCTGACAAGATGGGCACTGTGAGCCTGGAGGAGGAGCGCAACAGGAACAACGTCATGAGCAACTTTGTAGGTGAGACCTACTTTCCTCGCAGCTGGTATTCGGACGTGCAGTTTGTGTTTCAAACCTTATGATCCAGCGCTTCGCTACCGTTGCCATGCATGTGCCCTGCAGTCAAGGCCCGTCAACGGCATGAGCATGCTTTGAGGTGTTGCCGTATGTGTCTGGGTAGCTGCTGGTTGGCTTACTGCTAGCAGAGCTGAGGGCGTGACGCCTTTGACTTGGAAAATGCTTTTATATCCTCCTTTTTCGGGTTGCTTGACAACACGATCCAATTACAATTGCCGACCGCGTACTTCAATCCTATAACCCAAGCTGTTCCATGTCGTAACCTGCCTAGGCGCGCTGGTCAAGCTGGGCGACTATGACGGCCTGGTGTTGTCCTTCGCGCCGGCCACCGGCATATTTGCCATACGCATCCTCCAGATTGATGACGTGGCCTCATCTCGGCAGCTGACGCGGGTTACCTCGGAGTATACGGACAACGGCATAACGGTGCAGGCCTACACGCTTAGCCAGGTGACATTGCTGCGACTACCGTTTACCCTGATGCTACCGCTGGTGTTCCAAACGTGCCCAATCCCGCGCTATCAATCCACATCCGTGTGGAGCTCCCATCCATGCTGCTGCACAGGTTCGTTTCGGGCACTGGGGCGGCGCCATCACGAACAGCAAGGTGGTCAACGAGGGCGAGCTCAAGTGGCTGGTGGCGCGGGCGGTGCAGCTGGGCGACAAGAGCGACGCAGCCACTGCGTTTGAGGCGCGGCAGCGGCTGCTGCAGGCACAGGTGGGCTGGGGAGCAGGGAGGAGGAGGCGGAAGCCAGGAGGGGAAAGAGAAGGAAGAAGGGAAGCGGAGCGTGTTGAGCTGTTCCTCCATAATGCCGAGAGGTGTGCGTTCCAGCAGCTGTACCGGAAGAGCAAGGTAGGGCTGGGGATGAAGGGTATGATGCGGCGTTTACGGTACGGTACCCTATTGACCTAACGCGCAGGTGGAGAAGGTGACAGCGGGCCTGGAGGCGGAGTGGGCTGGCCGCTTCCGAAACCTCAAGCTGCGAGCCGCCATGTACCTGCTGATGCTGGTGAGGGAGAGAGGAGGCGGACAGAGAGGGAGAGGTGGGAGGGTGCCGTGTCATGCTACCCATGCATTCATGTAAACTTGTGCGGGCGGGTGGGCGGGTGGGCTCGGAGGAACGTCAGGGCGGGGCTACCAGCGGGGAAGCCATCAGCGCGTGTACCCGCCTGCCCGCGCACGCAGTTCCCCAAACCCCCTTCACCACACCGCCCCCTGCATGCCGGTCCTTAACTCCCGGCCACCCCCTCCTCCTCCTGCACGTGATGCCAGTTGCTGGTGGCTGCTGCTGCCGGCGGCGGCATGTGGGTGCTGCTGAGCGCTGCGGGTGCTCGACAGAGGGACCTACAGGCGCGGCTGGCAGCTAGCGGGGAGAGGCTGGCAGAGGCGGAGGTGAGAGACAATAGAGGAAGACATGGAGCCCCGCGCATGCTCATGCTGAGGCTGCTGGATTGGCGACGTGATATGTGTCGGGTTGACGTGACGTCTATGTAGCCTATAGCTGTGGTGTTTTGCATTTACATCTCAGGTGTACATAATTCCGTTCTCCTATGCCGTACGTGCATGCCGTACATACATGCCGTGCAGGCGGAGCTCCAGTTGCTACACCTGTACCGCGTTTCTCTGGAATTGGACATTGGACGGCGCGTGGCGGCACCAGCGGACTTCCCCACGCACCACCCCAGCTTCACCAACAGCAGTAGCGCCAGCAGCACTTGCACGAGCAACGGTAGCAGCAGTAGCACCCACATCAGCTGTCATATAAACAGCAATAGCGGTGGCAATGCTAGTGATTGTGGCGCCCTTGGGAATAGCAGCAGTGCTGATGGCCTTTGCAGCGGTGACGGCAGTTCGGATGCCAGCGGTGTAGCGGGCTCAAACAGGAAAAACATAGCTGCAGCGGCGGCGGCCGCTGCGACCACAACCGGGAAGCCTGGGGAACCTGCGTCAACGGATCCCGCTGACGGCACCAGCAGTGACAGTGGCAATGCTTCCGGGCGAAAACAGCACCAGAGAAAACCGGCAGATGGGAACGGCGATGAAACAGTTACCAAAGCCGGCGGGGGCAGCCGGAAGCCGACCCATGGGTCTGTCGGCCCATGGGAGCCCAGCAGTCGACGTAACGGCGACGGCGGCGTGGACCGCCGCTCTCGGTCTACCAAAGACAGCGGGAAGCGGAGCCGGCAAAGGCGTCCCTCCTCCTCTAGCGGAGCAACCAGCAGTGGCGGAGACGGCGATGGTCATGACGGCAACAGTGATGTGGGCAGTAGGGGCGGTCCCGACGGCGACTGCGGCGGCGACGCAGCCAACTGGGCCGACGCGGGGCAGTTGTGGGGTCTGCCGCATGCGGCGTTGCGTAGGGCGATGTCACGGGGGCGATTCGGTCGCGTCGCTGCAGGTATGTGGCTCGAGGGCACGAGCATGTACGGCCTGCATGATAGGTTGAGGTATGCCATGTTTCTCCTTCCTGGTCCTTAGAAGCCTTGCAAAGTTGAAGCAGAGGGGTTTGGGAGTTTATCCCGCAATACCTGAAAGAATTGGAGTATACAGCTGTCCTTCACTCCCAAGGTAATGTCGCCTCCTGGGTTTTAAGGTCAGCATGATGGGGCACATTGCTCACTGGTCATTCCCTTTTCCGTACATTTCTTGCACCGTACAACGGACTCAGGGTCGCGGCACAATGGAGGCGGTGGCGGTGGGGACAGTCTGTACGAGCAGCATGAGTCTGCGGGGGAGCAGCCAGATGCCTGGACGTTCATCCATTACGTGTCGGCTGTGTATGCCGTACATCTACAGGTCAGTTAAGGGGGGCTATCTTACCGTTAGGCATAACTGCCTAACATCGCCGGTCCATTTGCCTTGGCCGGAGACAGCCCGTTTTGCGTTGCGCTGCCTCAAGACGTAACCCCTTCATTCTGCTTCAACCGTAAAATGTCCCACCCGGCTTGCTGGTTCCGTGTTTTCCCATGACAGGAATGGATGAAGGTACAACTGCAAAAGGTGGGTCGACATTTGCATTCATAATAGGAGAGATATTAGGATGGGTTGGCGCCCTCGCATAAGGCTCTTCTAGGGGTTCAGCCGGTGTGATAACGTACAGGGAGATTGCTGGCCAGTTGTCCTCCTGCAGACAAAGCTTTGCATCACTGGTGTTGCTTGTATTGCCTCCTAACGCAGACGGTTCGTCGAAAGGTCAATGAGATGCTTCTACCAACGAACGCCAATACACTCTCCGAAACCGGCGTCGTCGACGCTGACGCCGGCGGCGACGGCAGCAGTGCTAGCGACGACGGCAGCAAAGGTGTTGAACGCGGCGAGAACAGGAAAAGCCGGCGGTCAGCGGCGGCTGGGAAACGACGATTCCAACGAACGTATGCCAACGGTGATTACGATTATGATGAGGAGGATGAAGGGCAGCATGACTACCAGGATTTTGATGGACTAACTTACGACAGAGGGTATTACTGAGCAGCAGGGTGTGTGTGAAGGACTTGGTACTTGGGATTTGATGAGGTGTTGACGCCGGGAGCGATTAGGGCATCCGTATTGCATGAGGATTGGAATGGTTGGGGCTTGGGAGGAGGAGGTCCAAACTCAAGAGCGAGTGGCAAATGTACATTCTTGGCTAGTAAGACAAGAGTACGAGTAAGGAAATGCTCAACACTTGGTTGCTATGGCTGATTCCCTAGCAGATGACGACAGACGCTTGGACTGGGGATAAAAGAGGAATAATTAACCATGTGACTAACCACGTGCTTTCCTCCACGTTCGCATTTGTAGGTTGTTCTTCGGCGGGTACCCGGCATAGGAATGCTGGTGGTGGTGTCCGTGTGTACGGCTTTTGGGCTGATGCGCCGTACAACCGCCCAGTGCGTGTTGGACGCGTGCAGAAGCCGGCGTTAGGACTGCCGTTTAGTTGGTAGAATGCAACATCCTTAGGCCACAGGGCGTGATTACCATGTAGAGGGAGGAATGCCATAGTGCATTGCCTAGGGCGAGTGCATGAGTGAATTAAAAAACCCTTCGAGTACCACATACGAAAATTCCAGCAGCTCGATACTCGAGAGTTGAAAGCATCCGGAACAATCTTATATTGCCCCACATAGCCCTAACCGCGGCGGACAGAACCATGAAATGCACCTCAATGTCGTACAAGTAATGTTCGTAAATAAACAGGCTTGATACAGTGTTTCATTACTATTACTTACTTTTCCAAATAGCCAGCAGAGACCTCTCCTTGTTTCTCCTCTGCCTGCGCTATCCAAGCCAGCATATATCCCCACGAGTTCAGCATCCTGAACACATTCGCCTTCCCCAAAACCAAATCGTGATTATCTTCCCATGTCCTACTCTGGCCCCACCCAAACGCCTGCGTTGATTCCACGCTCCATGCTGCCAACGCAGGTACAAAATACGTAACAGACCTCTAACTGTATTGCCGTACACCCGTACCTGACCTAGAAACAGCATGATAACGCCACTTGGCAGTAAGAACACGACGCGCATGGAATCTACGTATCCATCCTAGGAAAACGTGCCCGGCACGTTCCGACTGATGAGTTAGACATTAAGGAAACTAAGCTACACATAAGAGGAGGGCCCAAGCAGCCCAGACTTAACACCCGATACCAGAAGCAAAGGCAGCAAAGACGGCCTGTGATGTTTACACGCACTGAACTGCAACCGAAACCCCGTTCATGTCCACGTAACGCAAGAACCGCAGACCACCTCGTATTGGAATCGCCTTACGGCACCACAAAGATATAGAAGCCCATTCCAAGCTTTACGGGAGACGCAATTCACGCATCCCATGTGTACACCCTCAAATACCGCGACGCGACGAAGAGCAGCATCAGCTGTTAGCACATACAGCCTGCCCTCATCCATCCGCTCGCTTTAGCCCTGCCGCAAGCCACAAAACATCCACGCCCCGGCTGTCCTTGCGGTTCGGTTATGTCGGTTGATTGCGATTGGTACGGCAGTCACGCTCAAGCTTCCACAGCAAAGCAACCACGCAATGCATGTACGTCAACAGCAGAAACAGAGTTATGTGGTAAAACCGGATCAATCGCAGACACCAACGTGCTTTAAAACACGTTTCTATCAACACATGCACATAGGCACACAAGTAACGCAACGTCCCGCTCCCAAGCCCACAAACCACCACCGCATAGTGCGCATTGAGTTTGATTCTTTCACGACAATCGAACAAGTCCTCACTCTGTTTCAAGAAGTCTTATTAGCGGCATGTCCATCCAAACCCACCTGCTGCCTCCGTCCATGCCGCAGCAAAACGTTTAAACACTACACAACGCAGCGAAAATCTTCCCGAGCTTTCCTGCAGCAGCCCATTCCTTGTTGCTAAACATTTCCTGGTGTCTTCCAGGCATCCATACGTGTTTAACAGCACGCGTAACCCACATGCCCCGCCGCAAACGAAGGGCCCCGTGATGCCTACAAAGCACCGCCAAACTGCAATGCAGCGCCCATGCAAACTACTAATCGTACTAGGATAGGAAAAGGACCCGCTGCACACCACGTAACAACGTAATACACGTGACAAAAGCAAAGGCCATACAGGTTAAGTATAGATACATCAATTATGGGATCTCCCCTCAGTGCAAACCGTGTTTGCCAATAGTGATGGCGTGACAAGCGTGCTTGTGGGCCGCCCATACACGAGGCGCATGCGTCCTCTTGCACTCCGCTTTTTTATGTGTCGTAGATGCGTTATAGCAGTGTAATACGCTTAATACGCACTTGGAAGCATAGGGATCACAAAGGCAATGCAAAAAGCAACGCTACGTCTCTCTCAGGCCTACATCCTCCCAAACAAGGAGCAAAACAAGGCTGCAAGCAGCACCGTAAACAAGAACCGTACTGCATGCACAAAACACACGCTGCACGGTACAACAACGCTGCATCCGCCAGTGCCATGATCGCGCGCGTTTGCGGCAGAATTCATGCGCATCCGGTCAAACCCTATCTGCGTTTCGCCTTACGTTAAGGATGCTTGAATTGCGCCTCAGTGATGAAATCGTAGGTGCTACTGAACAGCAGCAGTAGCAACATTGGCAGTGGCAGCAGCTTCCGCTGCCTTCGTAGGTGCAATGCTTACGCACCCAAATTTCCCAACCTGCAGCTGCTTCCCCAGTCTTGCGCACCTCAGGAGGGCCGACGTGTGGAGACGCCAACTCAGCAGCGGCCGCACCCGCATCGACCTCAAATACCGCACTAGCCGCCACCGCCGCAACCGTCAGAGCCGCAGGCGCCGGCTGCTGCGACGCCACCGCCTCTACCGCAGCCACTGCCATGCTCTACTCCGCCTCATATGCAGCTGCCGGTGCCTCATATGCATCTACCGGCGCCTCATACGCGGCTACCGGTGCCTCAAAAGCAGCCACCGCCGGCTCATAAGCAGCCTCCTCCGCACTACAAGTAGCCTCAGACGCCTCGGCGGCATCCTCCTCCTCATCGTCAGCAGCTTTAGACGCCTCGGCGGCATCCTCCTCCTCATCGTCAGCAGCCTCAGATGCCTCGGCGGCAGCCTTTGACGCCTTATTGGCAGCCGCTGACACCTCGTCGACAGCATCCTCTGCATCGGAAGACTCGAACGACTTATCGGAAGACTCCGAGGCCTCTCCAGAAGTCTCGACAGCAGCCACCGGCACCTCGGCAGTGCAGCGGTAGATGACGGAGTTCTCTCGCGGTGCCGCCTCCGGAAATTCCGCCTTCGGCCCAGACACTGCGGCACCCAGCGCATCGGTGCAACCTTCCAGCTGGCCGACAAAGGCGATCTGCACATCTGCGTGGCTGCATGTGCGCCCCAATCCCTTCCTACACGCCGCCTTCTGCCCAACCGCCTCCGCCCCCGTGTCGTCACTGTCGCACTGGAGGCCGCTATCAGCAGTGTCCTCGTCGTCCGAATGGTTCATGGGCTTCACGCCGCCACTCTGAGAGCGAAAATGGACCACAAACAAGGGGAACGAATAAGCAAGATTAAAGGAGGTAAGGGTAGGGTACCACACCAAATGGATGTTGACGAGCGGTTAAGAGGCACTCAGACAACTGTTGCCAAGGCAAGCGCAGCATGCAAGGCAACCTAGGACAGCGCGCACCCATCCTTACCTTGGTTCGCTGTGCCACCGCGGAAAGATCCACGACAACCACCTCCGCATCGCACTGCTGACTGTCGCCCTCGCCATCCACCTCCCTGTCGCTGCCTCCGCCGCTAGCAACGCCGGAGGCGTCCGGAATGGAGGATTTGTTGTTTGTAATCATGGGTGTCAACGGCAGTTGTAGTTTCGGAACGGGGGTCTTGTCGTTGGCCGGGCATTTGGTGCTCGTGTCGCCCTTGCCTCCGCTGCTGGGCTCCGTCGCCGCCTCGTCCGTGCACTCAAAGATGACCTTGACGCCAGCAGGGGTGGCTCGTTGGCTGTTGGCGCTGTTGCAGCGGGGGTTGTACTCCTGACCCGCCAGTACGATCAAGTCGTGCACGGCATCGTTGCGGCGCTTGAGCTGTTTGGAAGCAGGCATATAGTACGAGTTCATATTAGCTCATTGGCATCATCTCTCTGAAGCATCATCTCCCCGAAGAATCAGAGTGAATATAAAGTATGTCACATGCACCGCCGAGCACGTTGCTGTCAGTTACTCTTGACCCTACAGCCCTCGCTCATACACACCGCTCCATTCATCGCCACATGCACCGCCAGGCTCACCTGCTCCTCCTTGGCGGTCTTCATGACGCTGTCCAGACGTGCCTGATGCCCCTCAGCTTCCTGCAATGGAAATGTAGGAACACTGGGCATCGGCAGGAATACAAGGAGGGCATGACATCGGCCCAGGAACGCCGCAGCCCTCGGCTCTCATCTGTCCCTCACTTGCCCCTCACCTTGAGCGCCTCTTCTAGGTGCGGGGGAAGCGCCGCCTTGAACCAGGGGTGCTCCCGAATGGAGGGAATGTTGATGCGCCGGGCCTCGTCAGCATCCAGCAACTGAGGGAGGTGAGGATGAGAGGAAGCAGGAAGAGCGGTGGAGTGACGAAGGGAGAGAAGGGAAGGCAGCCAATCGGGCATGTGTAAAGGCGAGGAGCAATGCCATCGCCCACTGCCGTGCTCTCTTTCACTTTCCCCTTTCGGTTCCCGCCTAGGCCTCTCACCTTGGCGAGAAAATCCCTGCATTGCTCGCTGAGGAGGGCCACGTACGGAGCCAGCCGGGGGGACTTGGCCCACTCGCCTTCCACAACTTGCATCTGCTCGGCCAACACCTGAACGTAAGAGAAAAGAGAGAAGGGAGCGGGCAAGCAAAGGAAGAGACCCATGGGTCGCAAGGGTGTTGCGAAGCGTTGTAGGGCGTACCCAAACCGGCAGACACACCTGCTTAAACCAACAAAGCGCGACGTTCCAGCCGCACCACATTAACAAAACAGAGACATAACAAGCACGACATCTTCCCAAACCAGTTCCACCGGCTGCTTCCTCCCGAGCCCACACGAGCATGACCCTCACCTCCACATGGGCTCCGTCGCTGTTGGGGTCGGGATGCCCGGCGTGGTCGTAGGGGAAGCGCCCGAGCAGCATCGCAAACAGCATCACGCCGCACGCCCAGACGTCAGCGGCGGTTGCGCGATAAGCCTGGCCCTCCTTCTTAGAGTTGATCAGCTGCGGGCTCATGTACACGGGCGTGCCCAAGCGAGTGTGCATGACGCTATCCTCGTCCCACGACTTTGCGAAACCGAAGTCGCAAATCTTAAGGGTGGGCGGTCGCCGCTGAGTCATCACTACGTTGCACATCTTGAGATCTGAGAGCAGCAGGCCACAGAGAAGGATGTGGTTAAGGGCGCGTAAGGAAGGAAACATGCGGTGGGTGAGAAAGACGCGAAAGGAGCATGTAGGAGCTTACGCAAGGGAGGCTGTGCAGTGGCTGTGCACAGCCAGGCTGTGCCTGGCTGTGCAGTTTACGAAACAAGGTGTACGAACAACCAACGCCGTGTTGTCGTACCTCGGTGCGCAACTTGGTTCTTGTGGAGGTACTCAACCGCCGAGATGAGTTGCTGCGCGGGTCAAAAGGAACGAGAAATTAAGATATCTGCTGGATTCAAATGGATGTTTGGAGAAGAGAGCGGACAACAAAGTAACAATATACGTTACCAATGCAAAGAGCTCCACCATGGTCTCTGCAGCCCTTCATTCCAGCAATCCTATTCTATCAAAAACCTGCCCAGAACCCCAGCCACCCACCTTAAAGAAGTACCGCGCCTCATACTCGTCTAGGTTCAGTCCGCCCCGCTCCGAGCGAGTGGCGCCCCGCCGGGTGACGTACTGAGTCAGGGTGCCCCCGTCCACATACTCCATGACCTAAGGGGCGCAGAGGGGCAGGCAAGAGCTGAGAATACTGCAAAAAGGCGCAGGGCATGGCGTAGGTGAAACGGCCAGACCAACGTGTCTGCTTCTGTGTTATGCACGCCTGACTCATAACCAGCCCCCGCCGTCAATTCGGCTTCCGCCCCGTACTCCCAACGTGCTCACTAGGCCCAAATGCGTACGGCTGAGAAGCGCCGACTCCATTCGCACCAGCCCCAGGTGCCCCTCGCTTAGCTGGGCTTGCAACTGCGCAGGCAGGAGGGGCGGGCTAGGTAAGATGGTTGTCGGGCATACACCCAAAGTTATTCAAAGCTTCATGTGGATAGATGTGAAGAACCGAGCGAGAAAAAGCGCATCAGAAGGCTGTGCGTTTCTGTACCTGGATTTCCTGGGTGACCATGGGTATGAGGACTTGGGCAAGCGGCCTGAGCGGAAGGGATGGAGCAAAAGGTTCAGAAAGGGGTCAGGTAACAGCGACGGCTTAGTTTATGCACCCTTAAGTCCTTGAAAATGTGCCCCTCGAGCGGCGAACGTTGACCTGATTTTGCCGCGCTCTTCTAGCGTGGCAAGGCCCCGAGGCACCCTAACACCAACTAAGCAAGCCAATTTACCTGGCAATAAACTTAATTGCCACGCGCTGTGCTGTCCGCAAATCCTGACACAACCACGTCTGGCCAGTGCCTCCCTCGCCTAGGAGCTCCATGACTCGATACAACGAACCGATGCCGAAATCGGGCACCGGTCCGCTGCCGGCAATGCTGTTAAGTCGACTGCGGACGCAATAAGACGTTATGCTAGCATTCCGGGACCTCTTGCGGTGAGCAGCACTCGCCCGGCGCTGCTGGTCGCTACCTCCTTCGGCGCAAGCACTCAGGCAAGAACCCATGTCCGCGAGGCCGACTGCTTGTATTTGATTAAAGTCGAGGAACGGCGATTAATCCACGATAAAAGTGTTACCGGTTTACCAATTCGGGACGGATGGCAAGGACCGACGTCGGTTAAAGCTGGAGGTGTGAGGGTATGCGTGAGCCACAGGCTTCCAGCACAGCTATACGCCGTGCTTGGATGCCTCTTACACCGTGGAAAATTGTAACCTGTGCACGCGTGGAGCGATGACCGATGAGTGATAAGACTGATGAGTGATAAGACCGATGACCCCTAGTTCTCCGCCAGAGAGATGCGCAGCATTTTGCTGAGTGCTTACCCTTCCTTGCATACGAAACAGAGGGAGCTCCACCAGCTGTCAGCAGAAATGCCAGAGGATATACCCCTCCGTATAGGCAGGGCTTCTATACCGGTACCCTAGTTACCTTTGCCACAAAGAGCAAAGCCTTGAAGGCTAATAAACAGGACGGTGCCACTGAGCTGTAATTCTTTCAACGGTTCAGGGCAGGTACAGGGTAGATTTTGCCCGAAGCAGTTATGATTCCATGTGTCCGAGTAACTAGTAGAAGACGCGTCCATATACGTAGTAAGAGCAATCGGGAGTCTTGTTCTTCTATCCACAGAGGCCCATCCCCCGTTGCACTCCTTTGTACGGCAACCGTGAGGGTTGGAGGGAAGGATGTATCGCGGATGTTGCATTCAGGATCACCAATATACAAGAGTTGGGGAACACTCAGAAACCTTCTACTATAGCTTAGGTGCGCCCACCAAGTTCGTAGACGCTAATTGCACCTAAAGAGCATCTCGCCATGCAGCAACTGCAGCATGTAGCAAATTCTATTTGTAGCAGATTACTGCCAGCTCTCTGCTCAGCTTCTTTTGGGGGTCCGGCGTCGCGCGGCGCATGCATATCGCCTGGCATCGCGGCGCTGCAAGCTCGCTGCATATCCACGCTGCAAAATGGCTTGCCGGCCACTGTTACAATTTACGAGGTTGGGCCTCGCGACGGCCTCCAAAATGAACCGAAGGTACAAGGATGACAACATAATACTCATGTAGGCTACAACAGGAGGCAGCAATGGATGCCCACACGTTGGGGATGCATGGGAAATCAGGCACATTCCGCGCTAGTAACAGGGGGGCCCTCCCTGATCTTGCAGTCGTGGCCGTTCGCCACGACCGCAAGATCCATGGAGCCTTTCACCTGTGCACGCGCGTCTCCCAAAGCCTACATACCTTGGCACCTTCCCGCCCTCCCCAGCACGCATGGCTCGGATTGATCACTATAGGACCCCAACCCACCGAACCTACTTAATTCATGCGTTACAGGGTCCCCTTCCTTGTTTCCCTTACCTTTCCTGTCTACTGAACACCTCTGGACTGCTTGGTTCCTGTGTTAAGGAGTCTTTATCCTCTTGTCGCACACAGACGATTCCCACCGACGTCAAGGTCAACTTCATCAACATGTTGACGGACGCAGGTTTCAAGGTGCGTTGATGCTGCTGCCGCCGCCACGGTGGCCGCTCTTTACCCCTCGTTGGGCATGTCTGCCACGCGTCAAGCAGTTGCATAGTCCATTTGTTACCAGCCCCATTTGGCTTACAGGAGTTGCCACGACGACGGGAGTTGCGGGAAGGGATGCGAGCATGCCGAAGCTTGGCCATGTCCTTTCCGGGGTGCCATGCTTCTACCGTGTTACCCTGCCGTAACACACATGCGGTCCAGCTTACTCAAACCCGCAGGGCCGTCACACACAGCAGCTGTCACCTTGGGTTCACCGGAAAGCTCTCGTCCTTTCATTTCGTCTCTGCTCGCCTTGTACCCCGCTTTCTGCAGTCCTTGCAACCCTACCTGCTGTCTCCCGCGCTCTGTTCCTTCACCCATGGAAGTTCTGCGCGCAAAGCCATTTCCTTGCCTTGCTTACGCTCTTCTTCTCACACGTTGACACCCCCGTTCCGTCGCCAACCCATCAAAACACCTATCCTGCCAGGCCATCGAGGCAACCAGCTTCGTATCCCCCAAGTGGGTTCCGCAGCTAGGGGATGCCCGGGAGGTGATGGCACGCATCCGCAAGGCGCCCGGCGTGCAGTACCCCGTGCTCACACCCAACAGCCAGGTACGGCACAACCGCGATGGGGCCCTATGTGCCGTACCTATGTGACGTTGAAGGGTTGCGGAGGAGTCGGCTGCGTGAGTAGATGCGGTGCATGGGCGGGAGGTTCCGATACCGCGGCACATCACAAAGGATGACGACTTCGCGGAAAACATCGCCTCCTCCACCCAATGCTTTCCCATACCTTTAGGTACGCTTGCCTTGCACTGTCCCGGCCAACGCCTTTCCATTCCCAACGTGAAAGCCTTTGCAACCCCCGTTGCATGTTTGCAAGTTTGGCTAATTCCATTGCTAATTCCGCATGATTGCTTCTACCACCTGTTACCGTGTCCTCGTCCCCGCAACCCCGCAGGGTCTGGCGGGCGCGCTGGCTGCTGGGTGTCGCGAGGTGGCGGTGTTCGCGTCGGCTAGCGAGACCTTCAGCAAGCGCAACATCAACTGCAGCATTGAGGAAAGCCTCAAGTGAGTGCTGCAACGGGTGCCACAATCCTCTCAAGTGCGGCTTTTGGTGCGACATGTGTCTTGTTGTGCGGACCCGTGCGTTTATGCGTTGCGCTTACGCCTATACCAGCCACATGTATAGGGGGAGTAGCGCGGACTAATTTATTGTCAACGGACTGCTGGCCGGCGCATGTTGCTTGCCGGGTTGCTACCTCCCGTATGCTCTGCTCACTGCCGCCTTGCTCCACTCTCCTGCTCATCACTGCCGCAGGCGGTTTGAGGCGGTCGTGAGCGCGGCTCGCAAGGAGGGTGTGGCGGTGCGCGGGTAAGCCGGAGGAGCAACATGCGTCCCTCGATAGCTGAGCACATCAAGGTCCCGAGCAGCATTTCGAATGGGGTGAAGTAGAAATAAGGATGAAGTGGGCATGGGATAGCCCAAACAGCGGTTCAGGCGAGGAGCGTGGCTGTGGTTTTTGTCCCATGCAACTTGCCTTCAGCCCGCATGGCACGCCCCTTCATGCCCACCTCCCGGTTTGCAAACAGCGACCCTCTTGCCCACTGCTGCACGCAGCTACGTGTCGTGTGTGGTGGGCTGCCCCTACCAAGGCCACGTGGACCCAGCTGCAGCGGCCGCAGTGGCGGGAGCCCTGTACGATATGGGCTGCTATGAGGTACGGCGTTGTACTGCCGTACTAGGGTTCTGTTTCTGTCAGAATTCGCCACATCACGTGTTGCTTTGCTTGCTTGCCATGGCTGTACGACCGAACTCTTGAGTCCTCCGTACGGCAAGTTGCTTGACCATCTTACGGCCACCTTAACCGCTCTCCGAGTTCGATTTCAGTCTTCTCCTTCCAACTTTAGTAACACGCGGTGCCCATCCTTCCAACCGTCCCGCGCTGCTGCTAGGTCTCTGTTGCGGACACGATCGGGGTGGGCACGCCTGCTTCTATGGAGGCCATGCTTAAGGTGTGGGGGGTGGGAGGAAACCAAACTGAAAGAAGCCACAAGTTAGAGCAAGGCAAGGTGTGGGGACGACAGGGGCATGCCGGTGACTGCGGGGGCGCCACGCATGCGGGAAATGCGGGGAGCCTATTTAATGCCTCTAAATGCCCGCCGGGCTTGCGGGATGGCGCGAGCCGGGGTGTGGCGCGGCGCGGGTTTCTGGCATATATCATGTAGGCCCTGCTGCATGGGAAGGGCCTTCTACGGGTCGGGCGGTAGAGGTGTACGGATGCAGTGGGGGCCCACGCTGCTTCCACGATTCCCGCAGTTCTCCTGCCGCTCCGTGTTAAATTAGTCAACGCTACCCTGACTGCACCCTGATGCACGCCTTCGCACCCTTCTACCCTTCTGAAACCCCAGGAAACCGCTCGCTACATCCCACTTGACCGCATCGGCGTGCACTGCCATGACACGTACGGCATGGCCATTGCCAACATCCTGGCATCCCTCCGCATGGGAATCAGCATCATCGACTCCTCGGTAGCTGGCCTGGGCGGCTGTCCTTACGCACGCGGCGCGACAGGCAACGTGGCTACGGAGGATGTGCTGTACTTGCTGAATGGGTACGGCATCCAGCACGGCATTGACTTTGATGCCGTACTGCGGGCCAGTGAGTACATTACTAATGCGTTGGGTCGGCCAAACGGTTCGCGAGTGGCGAATGCGCTGCTGGCGAAGCGAGCGGATGAGGCGCGGCGAGCAGCGGCGAAGGCGGAGAAGGAGAAGGCGGAGGCTGCAGGGGCGGCTTGAGTGATACCGGTAGTGGCTGCGGAGAAAGAGAGGGAGGGGCGTGAATGAGTGGAGGGTTGCTGAAAATCTAATTGTTTGTTGCCCAAGTTGGTTGTCATAGGTTGCCGGAAGGTAATTGTGGGGGGAGGTAGGGATGAAGCTAAAGAGGACACGGTAGGCATGTTCAGGATGTGAATTGCTGAAGAATGCAGGGGTTAGGTCGCGCCCATAGCCACGGTATTTGGCGTCTGTGCCAAAGGACCTCAAGCAAGACCGCTAGTTGTTGCAACGACAACCATAATTTTGTCATGGTGGTGATTCGAGTAAGTTACGTTAGTACGGTGGTTGCAGGGCGCGATGGCGTTTTTGGACCGGCATACGGCACGCTGTAAGCATCAGTGCGGCTGCGTACTGCTCGCTTTCGCCAAAAAGACAAGGGGGTTTCAGCTTCCTCAAAGCTGGAAAAGGGCGGAGCCCCTCCTCTTTAGTACAGGAACGTATTATTACCACTGGAATGATTGCGATTATTACAGGGGAGTGGAACGACTCAAGTGCGACGCACAACCCTATGGGCCTTATAGACCTGGAATGCGCTCCTGTGACTCCACGGCACCAGTTGACCTAACACACCTCGTTATACGGACGCTGAACCCCCTTGTTTACTGTAGTTTTAGTGCTCGTTGCATGACTAGACGGGCTCAGAGCCCCTTGTCCAGCCGAGGCCGGCCGCCTTGTTCACCCATGGCGTACATAGTGTCCTCACTCATTGCACACATTGTTAGGTTACGCCTGTTCAATCGAGTACTTAGTAACGTCTTATCATGCTTGATAACACCCACGCCTTAGGCTACAGAACCCAAATCGACGGCGTAACTGCCACATGGAAGTGCTTTCAGGGTCCCGCAGAGTTTCACCTACATTACTAACATGATGAGGAGGTCAGGCTCCTCAATCTCGGCATCGTGCTCAGAAGGACTTCAGCCATTGCGCCGTCACATGACATGTTAGCTTATAAGCGAGGTATCCCGTACCCGTTTGCGTTACAGTTCATACGCATAAACCCATAGCAAAGGCGTGCAACATCGTCCCAAAGGATTGTGTGGGCTCTGAGTAGCACAGTAGATGCGAGCATGCTCCCGCCGACTTTCACAGGTAGCCCTTTGGCCACACGCCGCTGTTACCAATTCACTAAATACTGTTTACGGTACCAGGACAAACCATAGAGGAGCGCTAATCGCTGTTGCCGAGGTGGTCCTTGTTCAATGGCTGGTCAATAAATCGTTTGTTGCGAAATTAAGTTTGTTTGGCTTCCAGTTATTTTTACTGAATACAGATAACAAATATCTATTAGGTGCAATAAATAGTTTTGTCTAGATTGTATGTTTTGCCGTTACGGACGGACACACGGACACACGGACACACGGACACACGGACACACGGACAGGGGCAATCCTGGGGGGCGAAGCCCCCCCGAAGCCGCTTCGCGGCGGGGGCTCCGCCCAAAAAGACGTTTCAGACTCTGCCCTTGCGATGCGCAACTTTTGGTTGGTGCCGATAATAATGCGATGCTGCCTAAGATTCCACCTATGGCATATCCTCGGTCCTGATCAGGCCACGAGGCCGAGTACACGGTCACGTTCTGCTTATTCAGTTGCAGGATAGTCACGAAAGGCATAAGCCCAGGATTCCTTCCTGGATTCACCGCTCGTGTATAATAATCAATTCTCTGCACCGCAAACCGAAACAATGCAACTACGGAGCCGCAATACACCTTGTTTGCATCCATACCCGGCCATCGTATATAAGCTACCTAGTTAGGTGCCTCATTCCTCATTACTGCCAAAACATTTGCTCAGCGCTTCAAAGCCGTATACCGATACCGATAAACAAGCCATGTGAGTCATGCTCCCAACACATCTTACGGTTGGTCGCTTTCCCTGAAGGTCGGGGGCGGTCAGCCGCCAGAGGTCCACCCATCCAGCTGACCCACGGGTCATTGCGTGTACGCTCAAACACTGCCAAAGACATGCACGACCTTCAGTGGCTTCCTGGCTTGCATGCGGTCTTATGGTAGCGAATCTAGGTGCTGAGTGTGCAACACGGTATATCCTTCATACCGTGGTGACCTCTGCGGTCCTCTTTGTCACTCACGCCTCGGCTTGCACCCCAAATCCGTTCACCTCCTAAACGCAGCCTCCGTCATGGTTCTAGCCTCAAGCCGGAGTCGCCGCTCGGGTCCCGCACCGACGCTGCCGATGCTGCTTGTGCTTGCGGCAGTGGTGGCGGCGTTGCTATTCACACCCACTGCGCATGGAGCTTCCCATAGCGGCATGAAAGGTGAGCAGGGTTATACCAAGCAATGCATGTGAATACGTGGGGGTACAGCGCAACAAAGGTGTACGTGTGAGCCGCATGCAAACGATAAGTTGGATCCTCAAGGAGTGGGAACCACCAGGGTATGTCCGGTGCTGGATGCATACGGGGTGCCCGTGGCATGGGCGTGCGCCTGTGTACGGCAGGTTGCAATCGTACTTTGGCATGGCATGTGTCCGGCAGCTAACGAGCGAGCGCCGAGCGAAATCTGCAGTTCCGCATGCATGGGTGGGTAGGGGCCGGATACGGGGTCTTACTTGGGCAAAGGAACGGCTGGACAGCGCTGATGCTTTCAGAGCCTCCTTGCTCAAATTCCTTCCAACTCTACGTCGCTGCTACTATGTATCGTAGCTTGCCGTACCCACCATTCCTGCTGTTCCCTGCTACCAAGAAGCGTAGCACCCCGTACCTACCCACCTGTGCTCTACACACCTTACCCTACCCTCCCACAGAGCTCTCCAAGCCCGCACGCCGCCTGCTGCTCGACACGGCACCGCCTGGCGACCGGAACGCCACCTCCAACAGCAGTAGCCTGCCCCGCCGCCTCCCCAAGCCCCCCACCATCGCTATCACCGTATCTAATGTCACCAACAACCGCATCACTATCTTCAACACCGTTCAGAATATAAACGACAGTGACAGGGAGGTTGTGGAGGTGCATAACCGTTCTTCTGCGGTGCTGAGCGGCCCTAAGCAGCAGCCGTCCGGGCGGGGAAGTGGCACTGTCAACTCGATCAGTAACGTGGGACCGTAGGTGGGTGGCAGAGGCGGCTTTCATTCTTGTGTGCGCTTGCTTGGCATTGCTGGCTTAGGGAAAGGGAGTGTTGTCGGTAGGGCGTAATCACCTTGGACGATCATGCGACTTAAGGGCAGCTGGTGAGCAACGGACAGCTGATGTGGAAGTAAGAGAGGATTAAGAGAGTGGCGGTCCATGGGTCGTTTCCCGCCTGCGTTCAGTGGTGTTGCTCGTCCAGTGCACCTCGCGGACACTGTGTAAGGTGGCGCCATCGTGTGTGTATTTGATGCATGCGCATTGTGGTCCGCAGGATTGCTTTATTTGTTCCCTTGAGCGTACAGGTAGTTGGTAGACTATTTTCGGAATAGTGGCTTCTGATGTCGTGCCTCCTTGTGTCACTTTGGCGCATGTTGATGCAGACCATTTGTTGTGTTGGATAGAACTCCTGGTCAGTTGGGCAATATGCAGGTTCCTGCCTTTATCGTTTACACCTTAAATTACAGCAAACAGCTTACCAGCTGTTGGCACTGTGCGTTCGTTTCGTCATTTGTAACGATGCCCTAAAGCACGTGTGCTCATAACATCCCATTAGGCGCATATACAACAGTGCCTCCCAACAGGACGTAAGCAATTAAACAGACAGCAGCTGCTGCACGGGCTAGTTAGAGCAGTCGAACTCGTAACCAGGAACCATGGGTCAGTTGGTCCTGGACAAGCTCGCTACAGGGATATTTGGACCTAACACGGGACACGATGCGTAGAGCGTAGTACATGGCCGCGTTACACATATCCAGTGAAAAGATGCTAGCCATCTAAATCTTCTTCCTCTAGCCTAACCTTGCTTTTAAGTTGCGTCAGTACACGAGGGATTGCCATCTCATGCGTCATCCTGCTACCGACCACAAACCGAAACAGTGTAGTTTACTGGTCCACAGCGCTCCATAGTAAGTGAATCTTACCTGAAGAATTCTGTCCAACGGCCGTCATCATCTATAGAAGCCCCTTCGTTCCCACCTTGCAGCTTGCTTGCCGAGGCCTCTACTCGACACTTCTGGTCATGGTGCTGGCCCTGCTGTAACACAGGCAAGTTCAGGTATCCAGAATAATCCTGCGTTCAAGGTCGGGTTGTCTGGCAGCAGGTGCAATCCGCCGTAGCTAGCTAGCGGCCTAAGTGAGTTAAGGGAAACCGCCTGCACGCCAACTTGACGGTTATGGCCATGGTAGAATGTCAACAATTTCTACTGCCTAGCTCACAAAGACGATGCAATCTGGCTTCCGGCTCGCCACCTCTTGGCATGGATATCACATGGGCATCGACAAACCTTCCTTGCATCCTATGACCCCTTTACCCTCATGACGCAGCACCAACCTTCTTGAACCCCTACCTCCGCCATGATCCTCGCTCGAAACCGGCACCGCCGTACGAGTTCCGCACCGACGCTGCTGATGCTGCTGATGCTTGCGGCGTTGCTCGGGGCGTTGCTCTTCGCACCCACTGCATACGCAGCTTCCGATCGTGGCATGACGAAAGGTGGGCACCCCACAGAGCCCTCCAAGCCCGCACGCCGCCTACTGGACACGTCTGGCGAGCCCAACTCCAATTCCCGACGCCTTCGCAAGCTCACAGCAGACGAGCCGAGCTCTGTTACAAACGTCTACAACAACGTCACAATAAATACCGTCCAGTACGTGAACAACAGCGGCAAAGTGGTTCGCGTGGAGGCTGATAGCCGTTCTGTCGCCGCCATGAATGCCCCTTGGCAGACGTCTCAGGGGGCTGGCTCTGTCAATTCAATCACCAACGTGGGCCCGTAGACGGATTGAAAGGTGCTTAAGACGAGAGTGGGGGCCACATGCTATGAACCTGTGATGCGCCATGGGTTGTTTCCCGCCTGCTGCGTTGGGCGGGTGGTGCTGTACGACCCGCGGATCTCAGACACGTTATGCGAGGCCGCGCCCTGTGTGTGTATATTATATGTTGTTGCCAGCATAACGGCTTATAATTTGCTTCAGCAGACGAGCAGCTGCTAGTGTCCCCAAGTAAGCCTACTGTATCCCATATAGTGTGCCATGTTCCCCTCACGCATCTCTGCATGTTACCCGCCGTAAACCATTTTGCTGGGTTGGACAGGAGCCTGAACAAGCAGTTGGGGAATGCGACGTTGCTTGACCGTTGCCTTCTACAGGTACCGGTCAGTCATGTTGGCCTGGTCCGTCTGCATCATTGGCTCATGCAACTGCTAGCCTTTCAGTACACATTGCCACATTATCCATTCGCAAACGTCAGAGGCCAGACGTCAGCTATTTATAGATAGCGCATCCGTAACAAGGCCTGGTGTACAGAACCATGGGTCGGTGGGTCATAGACATACTTGACGTATTCACTGGGACTTTGTAAGGCTGCCTAAACAGCCATGCCATAAACATGAGGCATGCGCACGTGCTACCAACATGGCAATGGTGTGCGTTGCTGTGTCGCACTGGGGTAGATATCTATGCGTACCTTCCTTCCCAATCTAGGTATCGACAACATCCGAGGTCCCTGCGAGTCCACGCATGCATTGGGCGGGATAAACCTTGTACACACCGTTAGTCTCATTCGACGTGGCACCACACATCCAGGGAGCCCTTCGGCGAATGCGCTGTCCTGCATTGCGATTCAATGCATAGGGGCGCAAGTTCGGCTGAAGAGCTCCCTTACTTGCGGTTGAGCACACCGGTAGTGCAACATCCATTGCTTACAAGTGGTTTCCAGGTAAGCACCACTCACCATTAGTTCGCACATCCACCGCACAACAGTCATGGAAGTTAGCTATCTCTTTACTGCTGCCTACCGCTCCTTCCCAACCTTTACATTTGCAGGAGGCTTTACGAAGGTCGCCTATGCGGCCCCACTGCTGTCCAGGCCTCCCACCGTGTATCTTAACATAGTTCCACGCCCAGAAGCCGCTATGACCCAGCGCCGGCAGCCGCGTGTGGTCCATGGGCGGCCCAGTGTTGTCGTCGCCATGCTGCTGGCCGCAGCGGCAGCAGCGGCTGCACTGACGGCGCCGGCTGCTGCGGCGCGCATCCTTCCTGAAGGTGCGTTGAATAGCATCCGGCGGATCACATTGGCGCGCATGAGCCGTTCCCAATCTCAAGATGGCTGGGCAGGGTGGATGTCTTCTCATGCATGCAGCTGCGTGCGTTTCAAACGTAGCGAGGGAAGCCGTGTCTTGCCCAACTGCAGGATGTAAATGACATGCTCGTTACTGAGCAATGTTTTCAATGCCGTGTCATGAACCGATACCGTATCATGGCTTGTAGCTGGCCACGCCTCCCGCGGTACCTGCTTTAGTTCTCGACACATGTGACCCATGGGTCGCCTGCCATCCCCTTTTGCCTGCATAGAGCCTGCGCTGGTCAGCAGCACGGAGATCTCCCAGACTGGACTTCGGAGGCTACTCGGCCCATGCTTCCTACTTGGGGTGAGCTGATTGTGTTGGGGCTAGTGCTGCAAGGGGACCGAACTAGTTACTCTTGTGTATGCTGCCAGGCATGCGTGTGGCTGGTACGACGTGGGAGCTGACGAGTGGCAAAAGCTCAGTGCGGGTCTACTAAGCGCTCGGCAGTAGCCTCTGCCTGGAAACGCACTGCAAGCCATGCGGAGGTTAGGTTATGGTCCACCGTCAACGTTTTCCGTTTCGCCTCTCCCACAGGGTTGCAATGTGAATGTTGAGGTGGTGTCTGGCGGCGGAAGTGGAGGTGGCGGCGGCAACGGAGGTGGAGCACCGCCGCCACGGCCGCCGCAGAGCCGCGCTGGGGGCGGCGGCGCTGCTACGATCGTCAACATCAACAACGTCAATGGCGGCGGTGGTGGCGATGGCGGGTCTGTGCGGAGGCCGTCAGGTGCCAGTGGCCTGAACAACGCAAACATCATATCGCTGGGCTAGGGGGCTTTACAGTTGAATATGGCGAAAAATGCGTTGAGGTTGTTGTGCTACTGGTGAAATGTGATACAACTTCCGGCGGCGGACGGGTTTGGTGGCGGCGGTTGGTTATGGTGTCGGTTCTATTAATTGAACGTTGTTATGCGACTGGACAGGATGGCTAAATCCGAGCCGCATAGCATTGAATCGGCTTAATGAGGTCTTCATCCCTTTATTAACAAGGGATAAATCATGATAACACATGAGTTCGTGGAGGTTTGGATGGTAGCGTTACCGTTGAGAATGGATGTACAGAGTGTCGGTGATTGTCCGAGTGCACGGTTGCACAAGTGGACAAGGTTAGCTGTAAGCCCACGAAATGCATGTCCACGGCACAACGTCTTTACCACGTCACAACACGGTGCCGGTATACCGGTAACTGGCCGGACCCATGCGCAGGCATATCGTGCCTCATGTAAAGCACACTGTGTCCACGCCTGGCGGTATTCCCAAGAACAGGAAAAAGGAGGTAGGACTTGTTCATCAGCAAACTATGCGATGGATTGCAGAAGACCCGCGGATCAATCAACATAGCCGTACATTTGCACGTGCGGTTAATGGAGCTGTTAAGCGCGCTCATCCAGCATCTGTCAAATTCTCAACGCCTGTACTTTGCGTACTTATCCGCGAGCCAAAACGTTCGCCTCCAAACTCTTCGGTTCTTATCGTACGGACCGGTTCACCGCTCCAAGTCTAGCCTCCAAAGCGCTCACCTCGGTCCAATGTGCGACCTTCGCTACATATCGACGCCCCAACCCACTGCTAGCCAGTCGAACGCAAGGCTTCGCTAGCAGCGGGCTTATCACATCTAGCGATTGCTGTACCATTTGGGCGTCGAACGCCCCACGGTGCGTAGCGTTGGGCATACGCTCTACCACACGCGGCCTGTCTCTATGCGCAGGGCTTTACATGCCACAGCATTTGCTAAATTTTCGAGCGTGCCCAGCATGCATGACCATCAGATCCCTGTTGGAGAACTAACCGCTTGACCAACCGCTTCCTGTTTTCCCTGTTGCCCCCGCAGGTACGCAGCCGGCTAGCCGCATCCGCTCCTGGCAAGCACCTGTACGTTGAAAATGCGGTCCTTGCTGCTCGCTGCGCTGCTCCTGCTGGGGGTTACAGCCCTCGCTGACGGCAAACCTCTGGGGCCTAAAGGTGAGTTGCAAGGCACTTCGCAGCTACACACGGCGCATCCTCACTGTGTGACGCATGCATGGCTCTCCAACTTACTGGGCGTTAGCCAACGGGTAGCTTGGCTTGCACGCTGTTGGAAGCCTCCTGCAGCCCCACCGCTTGACGCCAGCTCTTGCATACGCATGTTTCGCAATGTTCTCCAGTTAAACTCCCCTCCTCTGCCCCGTTACCCTGCCTTCGCGCTGTCTCGCCCGTCATCCAAAGATGCCGCTGGAATTCCCGCTGAGAGCAGCCGTCGGCACCTGCTGCAAGGCCGCTGCCAGGATGGGGTGAGTCCACGCAACTATCCTGCAGCTTGTTCCTTGTATTAAGTCTATCGAAATGCCGTACTGCAGAAGGTCCTATCCGCAACCAGCTCATGCATGCGGCGCATGCATGCGACCCAGCGTGCATGCTTTTACACTAATTCCTGGCTTCGTGGGCGTCGTACGAGCAATGACTAGTATTGCTCGTACTTCCGTGTGGATCCGCTCGCTTCTGAAATTTATTTATGCCCTGTGGTGTGTCGAGTGCCCTTTTGTCGCCCCTAATCTCACGCAACTTCCGATGCATTCCCCATGCGACAACAGGACTGCAGCCTCAAATTCACCTGGACGCGGGGTGATCAGCAAGTGACCGTCACCAAGGGCCCCACGCCGCCGCCGCCTAAGCCGCCCCCGTCGCCCAAGCCACCAGCCAAGCAGGCCGTGGCTCCTGGTCCCCGCATCATCGTGAACATTAACAACGTCAATGCGGCGGACGGTGCTCCTGGAAGCGACGGCAACCCTGGCGGTGGCGGAGAGCAGCGGTCGTCTGGAGCCAGCTCGACTAACAATGTGAATGCCATCCAAGGTTGATGAGAGGAGTCGTGAAGGCAGGACGGCGGGTGCATAATGTGCATTTATTGCAGTACATATGTATGGCAACGAATGGGGCGGCTTAGGTCCTTCGTGTTTATCCTAAGTGTTTTAGGCATCCCAAACGGACTGGATTGGGGGGTTTGAACTGGCTCTGGGGCGATTATAAATGCCGGCATTGTTGAATAGATCAGTGTGACGTCGCCGTACAGATGCGGAGAATGGTGTGTGGCATACGAACAATTGTAGCGGTTAGCAAGGAAACGGCTGCTGCATACAGTCCGGTGTGTTTCAAATGGGCGGCAGGTTGCTTGCACGTTTCATGTTTGCTGCAGGCAAGGCCAGCTTGCTGCCTGTGCCAAACATTCCAAAGTGCCCGCTATCTTTTGCAACCAGTCTTATATGTGACTAGGCGTGAGCTGTCAATGCTGTGTAGGGTAAGTGGACGTATCCACGCTTTGTAAGGGTCCCGTGGGTCATTAACGGCTGTAAACTGAAATATCTCCTAAGCAGAAGGATGAAGAGCAAACATTGCAACATTTAAACAATTCCATCGGATCTCGCATGTGAAAGGAATGCGGGTGACAAGGTGCCAATTAACGCTCCCCTTAGGTTACCGGTACCTAATACGGGCAAATCTAGCGATGGAAGCTTACCATTGTTGCGTTACAAGGGAACTGTCATTTACCATCATTACTGGAAGCAAGCGGCTTTGCAGGTGCACCTGGTCGGCTTCGGTGAAAAGCAATGCTGTGTACAGCACTTGGCAGAAATTACATGTTTAAAACTGTATTGAGGACACAGGGGATCCAATGCATGTCCTGCGGTTGTCCGGAGCCAGAGCGTTACAGTCTGTATGCCTAAGGGGTAAGGACCAGGAATGGTGGGCGTCACAAGCAAGCCAGCAACATTAAACCTGAGTTTAATTAGAACGATATAAAAACAGGAGAGGGTTGCAGTTAACTATCCTTAGACAGATATACCCTTTACAAGGCAGCTAGGACCTAGGAGTCGGGGAACTGCCGTACGGATGTGGCCTTGCGTTCCTTGTAGGCTGTTGGCCCCCAAGCATACACCTGTTTGCTGCTAGGAACCTGACCGTTTTGTTTATGCGTTCTTTCCGTTGTCATTATAGCTGGACAACTAAGACTGTCCTCGCGGCCTTTGTCCACGAAACTTCACGCCCTCGAGCCTTTCAAATTTGCACGCTGCCATTGCATACAGTGCACTGACATTTCGAAGGATAGAGACAACAGGCGCAGCCGACGGAACAGTGCCATTGCACATGCTAAGGAGAGGCCGTGTTGCCGTGTAGACGCCGTGTAGTTCATAAAGCATACAACAACGGATCATCGGCTCGAAGATGGTGAGTTTTGCTAGACGACGCGTGAGTTGGATAGATGACGCCTCGTCAATGTGCACTTAAGCGGCCCTTGCGCCAACGCAATATCCCTTTTCCTTAGGGTTGTGGCGCCTCCTCAGCTAAGGGCGCTCAGAAGGACGTCCAACCACAGCCTAAGGGGTCAGTACAGCAGCCAGCTGCCAGGTTGGATGCCTTGCCGGTCCAAGGCACTGCTGTGGTGACAGCAGCGCCTCCCACGAGTACAGCACCAGCACTTGCAAAAGAGGGCTTGACACCAACAACGCTGCCAGTGCAAGCGGCGCCCAAAGCCCTGGTGGAAGCCGTACCCGAGCCGGCCCCTGCTGAGCCTGCTTCAGCTGTCACGGCTCCTTCGCCCCGCGACTCTGCTCCGGCTCCACCACCCGCCAAAGCTGCGACCATGCCTCCTACCCTTGTCCCTTCTCCGCCCCCCGCTCCTGCCTCATCTCCAGTGCCGGCCCCGGCCCCTGCTCCGAGCCCCGCTGCAGCGCCTGCCCCAGCCTTAAATCCAGTAGTACCGCCGCGCCCTGCATCTGCCCCTGCTAAGACCACGTCAAAGGGACCAATAACATCAGCCCCCCTGATTCCAGGACCCGCCCTAACACCTGCTCCGGCCCCAGCCCCGGCTGCTGCCCCGCTTTTCACCTCACCACCAGCAGCTGCTGAGAAGGAAGCAGCTGCTGAAGCCGAGGAAGACGCAGCAGCAGCAGCCGCGGAAGAGGTACCTGCAGCTCTAGTGCCCAAACCGCCGCTGACTAGCACAGGCTCCCGACTGCACCTGCCGCCGCTGCAGTCGCCGCCAACGCTGCCTCACGAGGAGCAGCCGCAGCCACAGCTGCAGCAGCAGGCCTCCCAGCGGGCCAAGAGCGAGGGCGTGGCGGCGGCGGTTGAGGGGACTGCTGCTGCCGAGGAGGCTGCTGCGGAGAAGTCAGTCGCTGCTGAAGCCTCAAGGGAAGCAGTTGTGATGGAGGCGGCTGCGGCTTCGAAACCAGCTGCGGAGGAGGCTGCGCCTGTGGCTGCCGGAGAGCAGCTTGTGAAGGAGTCTTCCAGGAGGGAGGTTGAGGAGGCTGTGAAGGAGGGCGCTGCCGAGCCTGCTGACGAGCCCGCTCTTGAGCGGGCTGATGCGCTTGCCAAGGAGCCTTCCGAGGCCACTGCCAAGGAGGCTGCTGCGCCAGTTACGGAGGCATCTGCTGAGACCCAGCAGCAGAGCGCAGATGGCGCCTCAGGCGGCCCTCTTCGTCCAGCTGAGGTCTGTAAGAGTCGTCCGGAAGGGTTACACATAGGAAGTGCATGGGTTGCGCTGCGTGGTTATGGTGAGCGAGCGCCCATGCCACGTACAGCGTAGTAGCATCTGAACCTGGACTTCGTGCAGTTACGCTGTGTTGACAGCACGTCGAGCGGCTTGGTAGCCTGCACGCCTTTAGCCATCCATCTTCAACCTAGTTGCCCTGGTGTTGGTCCTTTGCTTACACCCTGCCTTTCCCCGCACACCAATTCATGTCTTTCCGATTCTCCTCCCCCACGCACAGAGGGCTGTCTCCCTGGCCTGGTTGGAGTCCTTCGTGGGCGACTCCGACCTCTCCGCGGTTGACATGGAGGCAAAATACATAGTACCCGCGACCCGCGGGTCACCGCTCAGCACCTTTGCAGACGTTTTGGTTTCCCGCGGCGACGCCGAGAGCGTGTCCAAGGGCCGGCCGTACCATTACGTCATCTACCCTCGCTCCCGACCACTCGCTGAAACCGTTGCCATGCTTGCCAAACACTTTGCTAGCGAGGGACCGCAGCTGCTGGAAGGCGAGTCTGCGGACCCGGCCAAGAAGGACGTGTTCTTTTGGCTGGACGCCTTTGGCCTGGAACCCTCGCAGGCCGCGAGCGCCAGCGATGATGCCGAGGAAGGTGCTCCAGCGGCGGTAGCGGTAGCAGCTCAGCTTGCGGAGGCTCGTGAGGCGCTGGCGGGTGCTAAGACGGTGCTGCTGGTGATGGACGAGGAGGGCGCGGGGCTGTCGCAGCTGTGGTGCCTGTACCAGATCTGGCTGGCGGGCAGCTTGGCGGACGGTGGAAGGCCCGTACGGGTGCTGTCGTACGACATGGACTTTGAGGAGCTGCGAGAGGTAAGCAGCTGCGGGTAGTGAGGGACGGAGGGTGGCGAAGGTTTAGCCGGTGATGGTCTTAGTGCGGCGAAGCAACTGTTTACTTGCCGGGAAGCAATGAGTTCGTGACTCTTACTGAACCCACCCTTCTGCTTCTCAGCTCTGTCGTACTCACTACCAGACGCTCGCTAAGTGTTCGACATCACCCACTCATTCTCCGCGCCCCGCTGCCTACTGCCTCGCCCACTCCCCACTCCTCACCTCAGTTCATCGCGGACTTGGACCTCTCCGCCGCCTCCTCCGACACCTACCTCCCCAGCCTGAGCCCCCACATGCTGCAACACATCCTTAGCACCCCTCCTTCCAACCCAACCACCTCCGCTGCAGCCTCCCGGGCCCTACGCGACGCCCTGGTGGACAGCATCCTAGCAGAAGCAACCGCTCTGGAGCTTCAAAGCCGCCCCAAGATCGAGGCCGCTATCGCAGAAGGCCGCCCCTGCGGCTGCGTCGCCGCCCACGTCAGCGGTCTGGTGTACCACCTCGACCGAGCCGCACGGCTGCTTGAAGCCTTGGACCGCAACTCCGAGGCGGAGTTCCTGTTCCGGCGGGTGCTGGTGGCGACTGAGGTGGCGCTGGGTCGAGACCACCCCGACACGCTGACGTCAGCGGCCAACTTGGCGTCCATGCTGCATGAGCACGGCAAGCTGGCGGAGGCTGAGCCGTTGTTGAGGAGGGTGCTGAGCTCGCAGGAGCGGGGGCTGGGGGCGGAGCATGTGGAGACGGCGGCGTCGTTGGAGGCGCTGGGGTCGCTGCTGCAGGAGCAGGGCAAGCGGGTGCGTGGGAGGAGGAGGGGGGAGGAGGGAGAGAGGGATGGGGGGCAACGCAACAGGAGGTGCACCTGAATATGGTACGGCATTGAGGAAACAAGCTTGCACGAACCAGGGGCATGTTTGCACAGTGAACATGAGGTTGTGGGCAACGGCTTGACGGCCTTCAACAAAAACGGTTCTGCCCTCCGCCTTGCATAAAATCTCTAGACTCCTTAATCCACCTTCATGCGCCTTCGTCCACCGCTCCTCTCTGCCTCCCCCCAGGATGCCGCCGAGGCGGTCTTCCGTCGCGCCCTGACCGCCTACGAGGCCTGCCTGGGTCCCTCCGCCAAGGAGACCCTCACCGCGGTGGGCAACCTGGCGCTGGTGCTGCGGCAGCAGGGCCGGCTGGGCGATGCGGAGCCGCTCTACCGCCGCGCGCTGGCGGGCTACGAGGCGGCGCTGGGGCCCGACCACCATGACACGCTGGGCGCGGTGAACAACCTGGCGATGCTGCTCAAGGCGGCGACCAAGCTGGAGGACGCGGAGGCGCTGTACAGGTGGGCGGTGGGCGGGAGGGAGGGAGCAGGAAGCACTGACCGGGAAGGGACGAAGAGGACCATGGGTTGGGTTGGGTTGCATCATGAGTGAGAGGGTTGGGGACTGGTGGGAAAGCAAGCGCCAGGGTGCTTACGCGGGCGGCAGCTGCTTGCTTGTTATGGGAAACTCGAGTGGGAACGTCACACCCTCACTCTCGGTCTCCCCACAGCCCAGTCTCTCACCGGGTGCATCAACAATGTTGATTCAACATTCGTCCTGACATCGCCACCTCCCCTTATTCATCCCACCCTCGACCACAACACCCATCCCTCTTCCCTTTTCCTCCCCCTTCCCCCGCCTTCTCCTCTCACCTCCCTCCCTCCCCTCAGACGCGCCCTGGACGGCTGCGAGCGGCTGCTTGGCTCCGAGCACCCCGACACCCTCTCCGCCACCAACAACCTGGCGGCGCTGCTGCAGGCGCAGGGGCGGCTGGAGGACGCGGAGGCGCTGTTCCGGCGCACGCTGGCGGGTCGGGAGGCGGTGCAGGGGCCGGACCACCCCGACACGCTGCTGTCGGTGAACAACCTGGCGGTGCTGCAGCAGGCGCAGGGGCAGTACGCGGATGCGGAGCCGCTGTTCAGGTGGGGGGAGGAGGGTGCATGGGCGCGTGGGTGGGCCGGGTGATGCGCCGAATGTGGGCTGGTGTGGGTTGAATGATGTAACATGGTGTTTGGTCCTCCTGAGCTACATGCGTGACTCCTACCTGCTTCCTCCGCAACAATATAAGCAAGCGTGTGTCCCTTATCCCTTACCTCCTCCACCGCTATCCTCGCCCCGCCCCCATGCAGGCGTGCACTTGCGGGCTGGGAGGCCTCCCTGGGCGCCGACCACCCCGACACCCTCACCGCGGTTGCCAATCTGGGTTTCGTACTGGAGGCTCTCAACCGAGACCAGGAGGCGCTCGCCATGTACGTGAGGGAGGCGGACGGTCGCGAGCGGCGCGGGGATACGGAACGTGCGGCGGCGCGGCGGCAGCACATTGCGGAGATGCAAGAGAAGCTGCAGGCTACTGCGGGTGCGAGCAGGGAGTAAGGGGGCGGGATTGGGTTGGCTTGCGGGGATGGAATGATGTGTGGAGCTATCCGCGCCATGCCAGGTCGTGCAGTTACAGAACTGCCAGGATCGAAGGGGGGACGTTGGGAGCAGGAGTTTGCAATGCAGGCGGCTGAGGACAGGGATGGGGGATGCAGGTTTGGAAACGTGGTATCAGGTTGTTGGTGCTGGAAAGGGCGGAGGAAGGAAAAGCTTATGCATTGGCTTCGTCTTGGTGTGTACAGGGTTCATGGGTCTGGTGGTGTTCGTGCGAACTGTGCAGTGGGTTGAGCTCCATTATGGTAGTAGCTTGTGCATTTCAATTCATACGTGTAGCTGTAGCGGGACCTGCGCAGGCATGATGTGCATGTGTGCGTGAGGTGGCAAAGGGGCTTGCGGGCGGGACGGCGACCAGCCTGCATGCTGTGCCGAGCAAGGCTTGGCCGATTTGGAGCGCGCGCTTCATGTACGACAGCGTCCAAAAGTGTACGGATGGTTTGCTTAACGTAGGCCGCGATTTCGCTATGAGAAGGTGCACGGGTCGGCTGTGTGACGACATGAGAAGTGCTGATTGATGGTGAGGTATTCATGGTTCGGGATCTGCTGTATGGATTGGTTCCGGATCCGGTTGGAATCTGTTTATCGTTAGGCACTGCGCTAGCCGTGCGATTACCCCATGATGTGGATATTCGTGTGGGTTGCGTGGTTGGCTGGATTCTACCATGGGAGCTGCTAGTGAGCCTAACATGTTACAAGGCTGCATGCGCCCCATAAAGCTGTTGCCAACGCTTGCCGGCCATTGATTAGCTGTGTCAAAGGTAGTCATCGTAACTTGCATGTAAAGGGTTGTTACGAAGAGGTAAGTAGTGGTGCGTGGTGTTGGTCGCGAAATGCTTCTAGTGCACGAACATTGGAAACGGTAATTGTCATTCGAGCATCCCACTTTGTTGGCGTTTTGGCTGCTGATCTCGACCCTCGGTATGCCTGTCCCGACGTGTGCCCGTACACTTTGTACGGAGTCAGGGGAACTGTCGTTGCAAGGACACGGTAGCGACCACGGGCGTCGGAGGCCTGATGCGGAGGTCGTACGGCATGTCACGACCCCTTAGTTCGTGAATGACATTCGGAACTTTGCTTAGTGTGACTGTGTATTACGGGAGAAATCGAAATTTAGGTGGAAAGCTATGGAGGGCAAGGTGGCCGTGGCCGGAAGCGTTGCTTGGACACGCGATCCTTACTGTAACTCTCAGCCTCGTCTTTGAGTTCGCCTGCGCTATGTTGGTTCGTTGCGTTTCCCTTTTCAAGTTCGGTGAACGATGAAACATCGAAAGTAATGCAATTGTGGGGCTGATGACCTATGGGTCACCTAGGTACGCGCCGAGCTGGGGTGCATTCAATTAACTGTGTGCTATAGTTGTCACGCCATGGTTGAGCAGTCACAATGGTGATGACTTACAACACACGGTACGAACGCGGTTCATGGCGAGGCCGTGAGGGGCAGCTGATCCTTTTCTTCTAGAGCTACGGGCATCGGAATAAAAAATGGAAGCGAGAACGAGTAGAAGCACATCAACCTTATATGCAGCTCACATGGCTCAGCTTATGCTTTTCCTCGGTCCCGTATCTTGAAAGCAACAGTCCTTCTATACCCGGATGCGTGCACAATTTTTCGAGATAACTCACCATTACAATTAAAGAAAGGTTGAGTTGCCTCAGATAAAGAGCAGTTGGTGGACCGCAAAGAACATCCAAACACCTGAGGTCGTCGGTGCGTACTACAATGGTTCCAGAGCGAAGTTGTCAGCTGCATGTTTGGTTGCATAGCCTTAATTGCCTGCTGACCAGCAATGTGAGACGCTACCTGTTCGGAGCTACATCTTTGGCTGCTGTTCTATGCAATTACCCCAATTCTACAACCAACAACGCAGTTGCAAAGTATTGGTTAACAAATTGCTATACGTGAGGATGTATTGCTGAAGACGCACTACCTTGAATAGCCTGAGTTTTATAAGATAAACTGCCAATGCGCTCTCTGCGCTGTCGTCACCAACCATTCTCTTCAATTGACAGACCTGCGTCGCGCAAAATCGTAAGTGCGGCTAGACGCTAGAGCTGACGCATCGAATTGCAACGATGTATGTGTGGAAAGGACGTTCATGGGTGTGGCTGTCCGGCACTACAACGCGGTGTCGAGCCTATGCGCTAAAGATACAATCTGTTTGCAGGCGTTAGCAAAGGCGGTTAAAGTTAGCCGCACTTTCGGTCATATTGCGGTTCGCCCCTCTGCCGCTGCATCATTGCTGCTGCTGCGGGCAGTCTCCTCAGCCGCCCCTGCTGTCCTTTCTGCAAAGGACGACTCAGACCCTCCTAGAAATGTGGGCCCGCAAGGTCCAAAGTTGCCGCCGCGGCCTGTAAAGCCAAAAGCTTCCAAGGATGGCAAGAAGGCAGGCGGAGATAGCGGTGGAGATGGCGGTGGCGGAGGTCCAGGACCCAGCGGCACTCGTGCCCTAGCGGCACTTGCAGCACACACACTCTTGGGAACGGCAGCAATCGTCCTAGCAAACCTTGCGGGCATAGACCTCTGGGAAAGCTTTCGGTGGTCCTCTTGGGAAGACCTGCGGCTGGCGCTGATAGCGAGCATTCCACTGCAACTGCTTAACGCCGCGATACTCCTGCCTAGCTACGGCTCGCAGCGTCTACCGGACTTGGGCGATTTGAAGGTAGGGATGTAACTTGGCCTAGGCAGCTCATGCATGCATGGGGAATCGGGGTCTGACACGGAACAGGCTGCCTCGTTTCAAGGCGAGCCATCCTTGTCTCTGCGACGTGTCACTGCTCTCTCCTTACCTAAAGATGCCCCACAAGCAGGCATTCGCCGCCGTTTAACCCCATTCCCGCCCTCCAGGCGTTCGAGGAACGGCTCCAAGAGGAGCAACGCAAGCAGGAGGCAGCTCATCGGGCCCAGCAAGCCCCGCAGGTGCCCCAAGAGGCTTCCCAGCCCGCCCAGGCCCATGGCAACGGTACGGCAGTCGCAGCAGCAGCTGCAGCAGGCGGGGCCGGAGGGGCGCATGTGCCGGAGGGGTCTCTTGCTGGTGATGCAGCAGCAGGTGGCTTAGCAGCAGGAGGCGGCCCGGCGCCTCCAAGGGCTAGCGGACCGCCTGAAGGAGTCCTGCCAGCGGCTTGCTGGGGAGGAGGCAGCCAGCCGGCTGACGGCAGCGGAGTCGAAAGCAGCAGCAGCGGCAGAGAGAGCGGCAGCAGCAGCAGAGAGAGCGGCAGCAGCGGCAGTAGTCGCGGTGGCAGCAAGAGCGGCAGCGCGGGTGGCGGAGGTGGAGGAGGAGGTCCCGGGGGGCTTCAGGGTGTAGGCAGTGACGAGCGGGAGGGCGACCAGTGGTGGGGCTGGCGAGGTGCACTGCATCTGGCTCAGGTAGGCTGGGAGGTAATGCTCTGGATATAAGCTGCAGACGCCTTGCTTTCGTGACCTTGCCATGCCGCTTGAATGCTGCGAGGCGTTCCCTAAACTGCGGACCTTCTTTTCCGTTCTTTCATCGCCCTGCTTTGCAACCGACAGGGCTACTACATTAGTAATAACCCAACCGCCAAGCTAACGCCACGTGTTGAGGCGCTGATGGCTGTTGTGGATACAGCAGCGGGGGAGATGCTGTACCGTGGTGTGGCGCTGACGTGGCTGGCAGCGTGGCTGGAGGTACGTTATTAGGAAGCGAGGATTACACTGGAGGACCAACCGGTAAGGAGTCCGTACGTTATTAGCCCATAACACGCAAGAGGCCTCTCGTACGAATTTGCATGGCTCACCTTAGTTGCCTTGTTTTGCACAGTATTACAACACGACGACGCTTCGTGCTTCTTTACTATACACAGGATCGCGTGTACGAAGCTGGCTTGGGTGACTCAATCTCTGAGCTGATGCCGTCAGCAGCGGCGTTGGATGTGCACAGCAGTTGCGAATGGGCGGTTGCGGCGATTACTGCGTCGTTTGTGCTCTGGTACGTCGTCTACAAATCAAAGCGAGCGGCGCGAACAGTTGAGCAGTTGGTTGGAAACGCACTGGCGGCCCGCAAGGGAAACAAGAAAGGTAAGCCACAGGGCCGGGGCCGATGAGTTGTGTCAGATGTCTGATGAGGCGTCAGCTTGCGTGCATGGCTCTCATGCACGGCCAAGAAACTCATAGGAATGGCATATGCCATGGTACCCACGAGGCTTTCAACCGACTGAACCCAGCACAACCCGATCCGCGTCGACCTGCATGTCAACCTGCTCTTGCCACCCCTTTCCATGCGGACCACAGATGCCGCCGGCCAGGCAGGCGAGTCCAAAACCAGCAACGGCAATACCAGCGGCACCAGCAACCGCCCCAGCACAGGGCCTTTGGGCAGCGGCGGCGAGGCGCCTCCCGGCCCCAGCACCACCACCAGCACCACCACCAGCAGCAACAGCAGCAGCAGCACCAAGCCCCCGGCCTCAGGTTCGGCTCGTGTGCTGATCGGTGGCCCCGGGGGCGCCCAGGAGGTGGGCTTCGCGGGCAGTGTGGCCAACACGATGGGGGTGCTGCAGCGCGCGGGGGCGGTGCAGGCCGTCCGAGATGCAGTGCAGGTATGTATGTGGTGCAGGTGCTCTCATTTCACCGGAAATACGATAACGCCTGCCAATTTGCTTCTCCGCCCGTTCCCTAGCTGCAGCAGCCGGCTTCTTGTCTTCTCCCTCGCCATGCACCCATGCCACACCCGGCCACCCCTCTTGCCACCTCTCTTGCGCGCAGGTCCTGATCATCAACGGCATCTTTGTGGCTAGCGGCGGCAACCTGGCCGCCTCCTTCGCAGCCGCGCTGACCAACCAGCTGATTATCAGCGCATTGCAGCGGAGGGGCGTGCAGCGCATGCGGGAGGTGAGGGCGGCGGGGTGGTGTAGGGACTGCTGCGTTCGTTGCGCCCGCTGACCCTGCAGGAATCTCGTACCCTTCGCTAATGCGCGCTCCGACAACTGCAATCAAGCGCTGCTGTAGCTGCGTCTGCTGCTGTACCTGTTATTCTTGTCACTCCCCGCCCGCCGGAAGCTAATACTTTGCTGCGGCTCCTTCTGCTGCTCCCGCGCGTGCCGTTGTGAACCCCTCTCAGCGGAGTGCGGCGCTAGCAAAGGAGCTCAAGGCATACAATGCGGAGGTGCAGCGGATCAAGCGCAAGTACAAGAGCAAGCTGCCACTGCCGCCGGTGGGTACCGCATCATGCCGTGCTAATCGCAGCTGTTGCGCCATCGCTGTGTGTGCGTAACAGCGCTGTGGCCCCGGCTTAACGTGCGGTTGGCTCGTGTGTGTTACCGTATCTGCCAGTATTAATTGTTGGACAGTGATCCGCAGAAAGCCTACATGTGAGGGTGTGATCATCGGCTGTCGTGGTGCGTTCAATGCTCCTCCTGCCTTCCTTACCAGTAATTCGTGTCCCCTTGTGATTCTGACTGCCCACGTCAAAGCAGGCGACCGCAACGGCGGCGGAAGGCACCGCCGCCGAGGACGGGCCGACCGCCTCCATAAGCACTCCTCCTGGCAGCACCGCCGCTGACAGCGCCCTGGCAGCAGCTGAAAGCAGCAGCGGCGGCAATCCCGAAGCTACGGCACAGGGGACTCACACGCTTGCCGCCGTGCAACAGGAGGCGCCTGTCTCAACGCATGAAGGCAAGTCTGTGATTGATCCCGATGCTACTGGGTCACCGGGGCTGGCGCCCCACTCGCCTGGTTGCGTCCTAGCTAGCGGCAAGGTCACAGCAGCAGCGGAAGGCCCTGGCAGCGGCAGTAGCAGCGCCCATGGGAGCAGCAACAACGAGACCAGCGGAAAAGACAGCACTTGCAGTAGCACTCACACGAGCAGCTTAGATCGCGCTCTTGCGATGCTGGAGCAGTTGGTACCGGAGCAGCCTAAGACAGGGGCTTAACAGGACGAGTAGCGACAATTGGGGAACAACTGCAGAGGAGCAAGGACCCAAGTGTGACGCGGATACCGGACGAAGGTGTGCTTCAACTCAAGTGGGATGCAAGTTTTGGTGTAGACGCCGCATTTACTGGACACATTAGGACCGTTCAGGTTGTCGCTTCGAACTGAGGGTGCCACCAATAGAGAATGAGAGGAGTGGGGGAGTGCGTGAGGGGCTAGAGCACTGCATTTTAGACACCGGCATACCGTAGGGACGGCGCACTTGCGCCCAGTGCAAGTTTAGACCCTTTGTCGTAGGGTTGTTCAGTTAGCCACCCTTGGGTGCTAGCAGCTGCGTATATTGGGTATGAATCGAAATGGGACTGCCGTTCGCGCGGTCTTTGGCGCACTAGCTACCACGTGTGTTTGCTGTAGATGCCGGAGGTAGATGCCGGAAGTTGCATCCTTTGTCCGTACAGCTCCGGCCGTTGGGTTCAGCAATGCTTTGCAGGCAGCCTTTGATGGACTGGGCTTGGTGCGTCGCATGGAACGTGCCATACGTACTATGGGGCACAACGACAAGTGCCGCTTTGCAGTGCACGTTGCACAGTTATGTTGGCATCCTTGATTTGCTGAAATGGCATGGGCTTCTGTACGGTACGGTGGCTTGTGCCGTAGCTTGGGGTTGTAGGCTCCATCCTCGGCCTTTTGGGCTGAATAAGAGTACGGTATTCGGAGGAAGGCAGATGTACTATGGCTTGGGATTTAAAGCAGTGAGCTGTAAGGGATGGGAAATGTGCAGGTGAGCCTTACCATCCGTTAGACTTATCAATCAGCCCCTCACCTATGCTCAACATTCAAGGGGCAAGGATAAAAGCAGCATCCTGAAGCCTTGACATGCACCCACTACCTAAGACCTGCTGGATCAGCCAAAAGCACCTTCTGTAAATCTCCCAACGAGGGCGGCTCTGGGCCACCAATCTAAAATGCACGATAGAAGTACTGCTACCCAGGTTCGTACGTCAACGGGTACGTGCGGGGCTAAGGCACAACACACCGTGCCCCTAACCGCGCTTAATCTCTTAACGTCCTTGACACCAACTAACTAAGAAGGGGCTCAATGATAAACGGGCATCGCTGCAAAATCTTCCGACTGCACCTGACTGCACATGCGGTATTCTGCCAGTGTCGGACAAATGGTATAACTGTGGCCTTCGCCAAGCGTACATAAGAGCCGAATTCATTTCACCCCTACCACTCCGATGCACCACCCCTACAGTTAGGAACCCAGTACATGGCAACGTACACGGGGGATTCGAAATTCCCGCAACACTCATAAGGAAAGAAGGCAGTACACCTGTCATGAGCTACATCCTGCTAAAGCGCGTACCATCCCTTAGCCAGCCCTTACAACGTCCGCAGCCTGCTTACAATGCATTGTGGTACGGGATACGGATACAAACCCGGCTAATGTGCACTCCAAGGGGCACCGCCGGCAGCACCTGGGATTGCCCCTGGGGAGGGCAGAGGTCTCAGGCCACGCGAGGGCGTATCGGGCTCTCCCCCACCGCCGCTGGCAGACGTGCCACCGCCGCCGGACCTGTTGCTGCTGTTCGTGCTGCCGGGTCTTACGTTAATCGGTGGCAGCACGGCCCCGCTGTTCCCGCCACCGCCAATGGGCGAAACTAGGCCACCACCGCCTACACCGGTGCCAGAAGTTCTGTGTCTCCTTGCAGGGGTAGTAGTAGTTCCCAGTGGGCTGTTGCCAGCACTGCAGCCGCTGCTGCTGCTGCTGGCATTGCCGCCCCCGTTAAAGGTGAGACCCTGAAGGATACTGCTGCAGAGGTTGCCGCCCATGCGCTCAAACGGGCTTAGGGTGCTGCTGCCGGTATTGCTGTTGCCACTGCTGCCTCTCCCGGTGTCCCAACCGGGGCCGCCGTTGCCGCTGGTTCGGCTGCAACGCCCAGAATTAATGGTACCCTCGCTGATTCGCTCAAGCTGGCCTCGACCACCCACCGCACCAGCACCAGCCATATCGCCACACCCGCTGCTTCCGCCACCGCTGTTACCACCACCACCACCGCCACCACAGGCCCGTACGCCTCCGCCTTTGCGTTGATCCGCTGCGGCCTCTGGAGAACCAGGCGCTTGAAGACCACCACCGTTGCTGCCACTGCCAGACGGAAGGGAAACATCTCCGCTGCCTAGTTTCGCCGACGTACCTGCTGCCGCACCTGCCGTACTCCCCGCGCCCCCGCCGCCGCTACTACCGCCGCTACTGCCCCACCTGTACTCCCGCATGAGCTGCTGGTGCAGCGGCTGCAGCTCCAATGCAACCTGCATTAGCCCCGATGCATGCGACGAGAGGTTTTGCACTACTAGGCCCGAGGCATGCGATGAGAGGTTTTGCACTACTAGGCCCGATGCATGCGAGGATAGCTTCTGGGTCAGTAAAGCTCCACTGCTGTAGCTGGTCAGGGACTTCCGTACAGACCCCGCCGGCCTCAACCCGACCCGGAACATGCGTCCGCTCGGACGTGCACCGCCGCTGCTGTTTCCGCTGTGGTTTCCGCCGCTGCTGGCTCCCCCCTCACTGCTGGTGTTAGCGACCGAGCCGCGTAGGCTGCTGGCTGCGGCGGCTGTGCTGCCAGCCATAATGCCCATCAACGTGGGACGCGTCTTCCGGGGCAGTATGGAGGGTATTCCGGAAGGTAAGGGAGATCCTATTGAGGAAGCGCGGGCGCCGCCTAACGAGGAAGCTCGGGTGCCGGCTCGAGAAGCGCGGGTGACCCGGTCGGCGACGTAGGATGGAAGGTACGGACTGAGCTTCGCGTTGGTGGCCTGCAGGATAGGTTGGTTAGATTGGTTGGTAGGATTGGTTGGCAGAATTGGTTGGGATGTAACAGTAGATATAGCTTCGGGACAGACCTTAGTGCGAGACAGGACCCTCAGCCAAACTCGTTCAGGCAATGACGGAGAAGCGATTGCCCAGAGGCTGTCGCCGACAGAACACATGCTCACAAGCCATGGACATGCTTGCCCGCATGTACGCCCTGCAACGAAATCCGTAATGCCCCTCTTTCATGTGCTCCTGTGTACGACGCACCTGGATATCGCGCAGCATAGACTTGATGCTGGTGAGCCAGTTGTCCGCCGGTCCCTACACATACACGTACGACGGACGGGGCGATGAGGGGTTACTGCCGTACTGCCGTACAACATGATTCAGGCGAAGAGAGGAATACGGTGCAGATCCCAACCACCTAAGGGATTGCCGCAACTGCCATATTCGTCTCTGTTTCAAGTGCATGCATACTTCGAGCACTGCTTACCTTCAAGACCGTCTCCCATTCCTTGTCTGGCTTGCCATTGCCGTCGCCCTCCGACTCTTTATCACTGTCCTGGCCGCTTTCCGTCCTCCCGTCGCCACCGCAAGCAGTGCTCTCCCGGCTGCCGCCAACCACCATTGTTGACCGTTTTGGTGCTGCATGCGAACCCTGACGAGAACGCGCTTCGGAGCGTCGGGGAGAGGAAGCAGAAGTGGTTTGCATGGCATTGAAGGCCAGCTCAAGCGTAACTGTGTGTACGACGCCGCTGTCATTGCTACCGAGTCTTTCAGCAGCGCCGCCGCATGAGCTTACTACAGCACCGCTGCTGCTGATACCGCCGCTGCTGCTAATACCAGCAGACGCAGCAGGAGGAAAGGCAAGTCGCTTGCTGAATCGTGGCTGCTGCTGCGGCGGCCGAGGCTGCTTGACGGCCTCGCTCTGCAAGGCCTTGGAAGAGGACCGCCTGCTGAGGGAAGGCGAGCCCCCGTTTCCAACGCCCCCGCTGTTCCGCCCACCCAAAGGCTGCTGGTACGGTGATGGAGCGGTCGATACCCGCGGCCAGTGGTAGGCGTTATTCCGTCCGCCGAGCGCCATGCCGACAGGCCCGGCGCTGCTGCCGCTGATGACCAGGTTAGGGTCCGTTGCGGGTCGCGGGCGTGAGTTGGAGCGCTGGAAAGGGGACGCCGAGGGTGGTCTCGGGGCCGACAATGGTATGGCGGATCCAGGCCGAGACGAGGGAAGGTTGCCGGGCATGGAAGGGCTGCCACTGCCGCAGCCGCTGCCGCTGGCAGTGAGAGCGGTGCCGCGCGCTGAACCGTTCATGGTGGTGCTGCGGGACAGACGCTCCCAGACAGGCGTGCGCTTGCGGGGGCGGGTCGGCATGGCTGCTTTGGCTGCCTTGGCCTCCTCTTCCTCCTGCCAGGATTGCCGGTCAAGAGGTTGGGGCAGGGTAAGGGTTACTTACGGGGTAGTCGGCCCCTTAGCTCACCGTACATTAATACCGTACCGTAGTACTAAGGACATACGCAGTGCGGACACTGCCGTGAGATGGAAAAAAATGGGTTTCGTCGTTAGGCGGTCCTAAGCACTGGACCCATTGGCCACACTGACTTGTAAACTACCATTCCTGCTAGGAAAAAACGCACCAGTCGTTTCCTTTCCCATTCCGGAAGGGATTGTGTCACGGCTTCCACTCGACGGAGGATGGTTGAGCGCCGGGCAGGTTTCTGCAGGCAACGTGGGGCCACAGCACCGTCGGCTCTATGCAACGGAGAACGGACCGAAGCATGAAGGGGTGCAACTTGGTAGCCATGGCACGGGAATGAGGTGTTACAAGAATGCATGGTAGAATGCGTGTGAACGGGAGCTGTTCAGACTTACCCAGGAATGCGCTTCGTAAGACTCCTCGAACTTCTGCCTCATCGCCTGTACGGCAAACATATCCACCATCAGTTGTACGGCAACAAATCACGAACATGCTATGCACGTGGATGTGTATGCAAGCGAGCCCTACACAAGCAAACACCAAACGTAAGGCAGCGTACATGCATACCGGCATGTTAATTTGAGCATAAAGTCAAATCACCACGACTACCACACTATGTCCGAATCCTCCAGCTCTTGATTGCCCACCTCCTGCTTCATCGCCACATGAGCCTCCGTGGAGCCCTCCGCCATGCAGGCTCCCCACAGCTGCGCGGAGCGCTGCGTTGCTTCCGCGTTTGCATGTGTCGCAAACACATGGGACCGCGGGAACACCCCCGGGGGCTGCTGCTTGGTGAGGTGCAGCGAGGGACCTCGGCGTGTCAGCGTCTTGCGGATGCTCTCCTGAGGGTTGGGTTGGGGTGGGTCATGTAACGCGGGATGAACCATGTGACTAGTATAAGCGAAGCCAAGTACAACGAATGGCGCAGCACTCGTGACTTCTGTGGTGGCGGTAGTCCACAGCACGCTAGTGCATGCCGTACTAAGTATTGCAAGCAAGGCCTGCTCGACAGCCTAACCGTTTCAGACTTCCTGCTTACGCCGTCTTTGGTCCATTAACCATCCAAAATATCCTTCATTGCACATGTACATGATGTATCTGCTGGTCAACCGAAACGGTCGTTTATGCCACTTTCCAATGCCGGCCGTGCCCACCTGAGCCGAGGTGTAGCGGGGATGCATCGTAGCCACTCGGTCCATAAGGGCCGTCATGCCCCGCTGGATGACTTTCCGACGCACAACCTCTTCATCTAGCTCAGCGAAGACATGCTGTGGCAGCGAATCAGGGTCTGCTGCCGCAGCATGCTGCTTGGCGAGCTGCACACGCTTGGATGAGCCGGCTTTTCCCTTTACCGGCGCATGCAGCCCCGCCGAAGGAGGGTGTAGCACGGCTGGTGGAGTGGGCCTGGCGATGGCTTGAGGGGGCAGCGGCGGAAGTGGTAGCGGCGCAAGTGGCAGCGGCTTGCTGGCGGGCTGGGCTTCCGAGGCTGCGGCCGAGGGGCGTTCCTCGCGAGCGACTGGGGCATCCCCACTGGCCCCCAAAATGTTGTTTTCTGTAAAAGGAACAACATCAGGGGTGAACAAATACCCGGTGAATTGCGTAGCGCTAACAGTGGCTGCACGGCTCACTATACATGGGCTTGGACATGTCAAGCCGTTGCGAGTCAGACTGAATGAAACCAACAATTGTATACTCGCCTACTGTAGATGAGTTATAAGGGACATGTTGGCCTTTTGCGTCGAGCACTTCGGTCAAGAAAGCGCTATGACAACCGGAGTCGAGCGTGGTGTTTTCTCCAGCTTCCTGTTGTAAGCCTCTATTATCAAGCGGGGTAAATTGTCCGTTGCTTATCATGTCCCGTCGACTGTGCAATAGAAACTTGCGCCCGACCAGCTCCAACGGTTGCCGAGTGAGTTGCGAGCGAGCTCACGGCCTCCTAGATAGGATAGAAGGCACAGGGAGTAATGTATATAAGTTTACAGATGGGCTCTAGGCAAAAACTTATACATATATTTTAAAGGTGCCTCTCTGACTTCTATGAAAAAGTCGTCCCCACTTGCGTAGGTATACGGACGATCGGGGCGCTCATTAACACATACGTATACGTTCATCTATGATACGCACGCTTATTTTGCCTGTGTGGCCCCGTCAGGCCATTCACCAGCCAACCGCAACTCCATCCGTACGGCAGTTAAGGGCCCAAAGCATAAGCATTTGTTGGGCTCGAAGGACTCCCTATTAGCACTGCTGTTATGCTCATGTACTAGTAGCATGGCGGATGTGCCGCTTCTTCAGGCGTTTTGGGGCGACGTTGAGAGAGCGACCGCGGCCTCCGCCGAGTTGTCGGATTTCCCGTCTACACAGGAAATTGAGCATTGCTTTCCAAACCAGGTTAGTCATATGTTTGCCTGCGCGGCTTTCCGCTTTTCGTTGCAACACCCTTCGCAACAGAAGCGCATCAATTGTATTTCTCAATGGTTGCAGTTAATTTTGTACCTAAGGACTAACGGCGTTAAAAAGTTGGGAGAGGCTCGGATCGCGGCGGCAGACCTGGCTTGCCTGTTTGGGGGCAGAGCATTTTTAACGCGAGGGTCGGTCTCTAGCACGTTCGACTGGGAGTCTGACTGGGGCGTCAAGCCGCTTCAAGGGCTTAAAACGCCATTGCCATCTGTCGTAACCGGATCTGGTAGCGGCGCCGGGACTTCTCTGCAGCTCCATGGGACAACCGCTCCGACCGCCACCAGCGCTAGCGGAGTTGCCGGCGCCTTCTCCGTTGGTCGCCAGTTCCGGCAGCGGCTGTCCAGGTAATGGGCCGCCGCCCTGACGGAAACCAACTCTTCACAAACCGGCTTACGCTACCTGCAGCCGTCGCTGAGCTTTCCTGCCGAGGTCGCTTTGGCTTTTGATTTCGATAACTTTGCTTGTATTGCAGTCTTCTGGGCACACCCGCAATCCGAGGCCACTGGGGTGCCACTGTCATACGGCGTCCAGCAGAGCCATTACCGCCTCCGCCGCCGCCGCCGTCAGTGGCGTCGTCGTCGTCGCCGCCGTCGTCGTCGCATTGGCCGCTGCCGCCGCCGCCAAGTGTGGTTGTTGAATCGTACTTGGTAGCGGTGCACGGCGCTGCGGCTCAAGGGGAGGCCGGCATACTGCGGCCGCTGCTGCGACGGCGGCAGCTGGGCAGCTGCTCAGAGGGCGTCTTTGGGCTGCCTGCCGTACAGGTATGCCGCTGCGGCTGCTGTGAATTGTATGTTGTGTATGTTTACGATTGTGGCAGCAGTCAAACCTGCCGTTTCATACAATGGGTCTGGCTGTGCCTCTCTTACCTGCTTATATACTGAGCTAAGCCCTGACTTTCTGCTGCTGGACCGGTACCACATGATGATATGACACCCATTGCAGGCCGTTGTGTCGTACAAGTGGGATCGTTTCGCCCGGCGGTTGCTGCTACTACATCTCGCTGCGTACGGCCTCTGGCTGGGCTCCTTCACCGGCTTCATGTTGCTGTTCACGAATGCGGATGCGGCCGTCACGGACAGGGAGCTGCTTAGCACTTGGCAGGTGTGGGCAGGGGGATGCTGGCAAGTGTGGGCGGCAGTCCCCGGTACTGCTGCGGTCGCTGCTGCGATGCCGTACCGTCTGCTGCTGGTGCCCTACTTATACCTGCTCCGCTGACTGCTTGCTAGGAAGGCAGAGGTAGCGTAGAGGAGAGGAATCGTAGATCAAGATGTGTGCTACACGTGTGCTACAGTAATGCGCAAGAGGATACTTCCGCTCGACTAACAGGGCTGCGCCGCAGTGGTATTTGAGGTGCTGTCGTTAGCCGGCATGTTGCCGTTCGCGGCAACTGAGGTGTGCGTCATGCGCGTGTACGGCCTGGCCGGCTGGCTGTCCGCGTGGAACCTACTGGACGTCGCAACATACGGGCTGCAGGTACGGCAGTACGAAACATATGTCGTACGATTATACCGGTACTTTGTGCGGCTACAGAAATCTCCTGCTGGGCTTAGCACAAGGGCAGCACAATGGTATGCCCACGAGCTGCATGCTTAAGCCGAAGGAAAGCAACGGCATTGAGAGCTTTTGCCCTATCCGGTTCCTTCCACTTTCATGAGAACAGGTGGCCATCGCTGTCCTGCTGCTGTGCCGCATCGAGCATGGCCCCTACTGGCTTACGTTCGCAGTCGCCACACAAGCCATCTTGCTTGTCGTACGGCTGACCTTCTTCAGTCGTGTGTTCCGCTCCACCACCTTTGACTTCATGAGCTCGCTGGAGGTGCGTGAGGTCGCGTACGGCAGCATGGCCGCGCAACGCTCCTGGAATCCTGGACGTTAACCATTAACGCATTCCATTTCTCCTGCTGTCCATGCACGTACCTCGTTCTCCACGCGGTGTACCCTAAGCCGCCCCGTTGCATGCCCACACCACCCTGCGCCACACAACCCTGCGCCACACAACCCTGCGCCAGACGGTGATTCGCGAGGTGGGCTGGTTCCTAGCGGTGCTGCTGCTGTTCATGTGGGGCTTCGCATGCGCCTTCTTCACCATCTTCCGAGACGACCCCGAAACGCGGGAGTTCCAGAGCCTGCCCATGAGCCTAATCACCATGCTCAACTACGCGGTGAGAATGAGAGGGGCACCGGGCAAGGGGCGGCCACCGCTCCCACCTCACCACATCTTGCCCATCCTTGTCAGTTACTTACATTACATGAACTCTGGGCATGGCCCTGCATTACTCCCACGCCTGCACCCTTCACCCTGGTTCCACCACGCTCCCTGCATAACATGCATTCCACGCCCCCTGCTTGCGCCCCTGCCCGCAGGTAGCGGGCAGCAGCACCTACATGGGCGGGCTGGTGGACAGCGCGCACCCGGCTGCCGCGGTGGTGCTGTGCGGCGTGTTCCAGTTCCTGGTGTCGCTGCTGCTCATGAGCCACCTCACGGGGGTGGTCACGAACGCGCTCATGAGGGTGGGGTGTGGGGGAGGTTGCCGTACGTGCGGCCGTACAGAGGCAGCGGCAGGGGAGGGACAGGGGAGGCATGTAGGGCGGGTCAGAAAGGGCATTAAAAGACACGCACGCGCTGCACTCGCTGCCCGCAATCTACATACCGGTACCCACTAAACCAACCATCAGTTGTCTGCTTTCGTCCCCTCTCCTTCCCTACCAGGCAACCTCTCAGGAGCCAGTGGACCTGGTGCTTAACCGGGCGCAGGTGGGCTGGGCTGGGAGACCCTTGCTGACAGTGCCGTACACATTCAGCATACGCTTGATGACGTCGCCTGGACGGTAGCCTCGCTGTCATGGACGCAATAAGACGTTCACTGTATGCCCGTTGCAGTAAGTGCGAAACTTCTGAGGCTTGGCTAACAAGTGATCTCCTTTGCCATATAGGTTATTGACGAGCTCGAGACGGTGCTGCCGACGGCGCTTTTGCGCCTGGTAGCATCGCTCGGCAACCGCGGTTGCGGCAGCGGCAGGGGCAGCGACCGCGGCGGTGGTCAGGCATGGGGCCCTGTTTGCCCGCCGTACATACACGTGCTGAGGGTCAACCCGCATTCCCTGGAGCATATTGACGACGAAGATGACGGCAAGGGGCTGTCACAGTGGGGCGGTGGTACAGCGGCGGCAGCTGCCTTTGGTGACATCAGTTCCACCGCTGCTGCTGCTGGTGGCGCAGCTGGCGCTGGCGACGGCGTGCGCGGTGAGGCGACAGGAGCGGCGATGTCTGCTGGTGAGATGGCGTCGGCAGTCGCGGGGCTGCCAGGCAGCGCCGGCGATGACAGGAGCGGAGCATCCACAGGTAGGCGAGGCGATATGTTATTGTGGATGGAGTGCGTGGTTGGTAGGTATGTGAGGTTCGGTACGTAGCGTGTTTTCCATGCACTGGATAGGACCTCACAACGGACATGTAAGGAAGTAAGAGTGCAGCAGCTCACACCGCGTATTTCAGGTTGAAACGAAGGAGCCATGAACCTATCATTGCGTTAATAATTGTCCCTGCCTGCAGGTCACCGGGCAAGCGAGGAGGGCGCGGTTGTGAAGCGGTTGGAAGAGCAGGTACGGCAGTTGGAGAGTCAGCTAACCGAGCTCCACGTCATCGTACGACGGCTAGCGAACCTCGACGGCAACGTACGACAGCTGTTGCAGAACCAACGTCAGCAGGCTGTGCAGTAGAAAGCAACCTTTTAAGGGACATCGTGGTCTTAAGCATGGCCCGATGGTGTCACTATGATATCTAGGATGCGGGGCATCGCTTGCACTGAAGTCTAGGTAGCCCGCGTTCAAGCTGCTCTAGCTGCTTACGCTGTCTACCGTTGTTGAATGTATCTTTGTACTGGCACTGTTGAAATCAAATGGTTCAATCTGCAAAGCTGGCGCAACGGCACGAATTTCAGCTAGCCAGCAAGCCGACTATGTTTTCCCAGTTGCCCGATAAACAACCCCGTACCATCCGGGCCGCTGCCGTAGTGGCTGCTTTACGGGCACAATGCGCCGATTTGTATGTGTATGTTTCTGACACCTTTACTCCTGAGAAGCACCGACGTGCTGGTTGATGTTGACATAGTGACCCATGGGTCGTAATACACTGCGCGTGTTTCAGCAGGTGCTTAGCATCGCATTGTCCACATATACGACTTCTGGGGGTCAGGCTCACCCGGATAACGCAACCGTCCAGAGCAAAGATTAGTATTTGCGGCGCCATATCAACCTTTAACGTTGGATACCACGCACGCACCGAATACCGGTAGATCATCTTCACGGTAAGTAGTTCCTGCCTCCAAACAGTGCGTGAGAGTGTATCACGTAATGCTCTTGGGTAGACCCAACCCCGATTCATGAGTGCCCAGCGTTGGATCTACTACCCTCTAAGCGGTTTGTGCTAACCGTATGCATCCTAAAACCTGGTCACAGAAGGCTCTCAGCAGCCCGCTGCTCCTTCCCCGCAGGCCTTCTCCAGGTCACTTCGCGCTAGCAGCGATTCCTTCCCCCGCATGCGCACCAGCTCCTCCACCTCCACCCTCTTCCCATACACCAGCTTACGCAGCTCCTCCCGCTGCTCCTCGCTGCCGTACGAGGCCTCCCCGTTGAACAGCTGCACGTTGACCAGCGCTCCCACATCCGGTCGTTGCACGACAGCTGCTGTAGCCAAGCTGCCCGCAGGTGGCGCCAGGTTTGACACCAACGGCAACTTCTTTGTCGCCAATGGCGGGTTGCTGTAGGATTGGAGCACGTAGCACAGGCTTACCAGCTGAGGGCCAACCGTTGCAGTAGCTGCGCCTGCCGGGACGGCTAGAGACCCTGGGAGCACCGGTAGGCTGGAAAGAGGTATCGCCGCAGGCCCTGACTTGCGCCGCTGTGCCCACACCAGCCCCAGCAGCTGGTCCGCCTCCCGCTCCGAAACCAGCAGCACCTCGCCGCTCGGGAACAGCAGCAGCGTATCCACCGGGCGGAGGTACTCGTTCAGGGCGGTTCCCAGCGGTACGGCAGCGGTGGCGTGCAGGAAGTTCGCCGTACACCATACCTTGGAGGACCAGCCAAGCCTCCGCAAGCCCTCCGGGTCAAGGCAATATATGAAAGACCCAAGCTGCTGCACCTCCGCCGCTGCGTTGAGCTGCTGCACTGACCTTGCAGTTAGAGCCGTGTTGTAGGACCAGTCAAATTCATGAGCCGGCTGTACACGTGGGATCTGCCGCTCCACCTCTTCCTCCTCCTCCTCTTCCTCCTCAAGCTCCCGCTCGCACTCCTCGTCCTCACCCCCTGCACCGCTGCAGGCTACCACTGTGTGTCCTTGTCCGTACCGTTCGGCCTGCTCCATGATACGGGACATGTCGGCGAGGACGTCCTCCGCAACGTGACCACAGTGGTGTGCACATCGACGCTGCTGCTCCGATACCTTGCCCATCATGGCATCGATTACAGGCTGCGGCGCCTTGCTGTCACCGTAGAGCTCAGCCAGCGTTAAACGCTCATCAAGCAGGGCCAGATCCGGTGCACGTTTTGTAGCTGCAAAGTGCAGCCCCTGAGTAGCCCACTGCGTCACGCCCCGCAGCGTCGCCTTCACCGTGTTGCTCATCACCCACCGCAGCACGTGGAGCGGCTGCGGCTCGGCTGGCTGTCGGGGCCCCTGCGGCAGGCTGCTGAGCAGGCGGATTTTGGCGGTGATGTCGCGAGTGGCGACAAGCCTGAGCCGCTGGCCGCGGCCCAGCTGCCGCAGTCTGCCTGCCGCCTGCATGACCTTGTCCTTGCATACGCCGGGGCCTAGCGTGAGTAGCCCAACGGCGTCTCGCCTGAGCTGCAGGTCAGCGCCACGGCAGCGTGCGTCGTCGAAGATGACAAACGTGTCTCGCTCGGCGATGGGCGAGCTGTGGCGGGGCATGCGGCGGCCGCGACTGTCGGAAACCACCCAGCAGCGCAGGCCCTCGTCAAAGTAGCTCACACCCTGAAAGCGCGTGTGACCCAGCCGCGAAAGGAGGTACTCCGCCGTTTCCCTGCGAACCAATAAAGAGATCTCGCAAGGCGCATCGAAGACGTAAAAGCTGCTTAGGAGACATGCTCGAATCTTGTGCTTCCAGATTGGAAATGCATGGCGATTAACAAGATCGGGCTTCCCGCATGAACACGAATGCTGCCGAAGGCCGTGGCAGTGAATGTTGTTTGAAACCTACACGCCTCTCCCACCTGTTGCTCGCCCCCGCCAGCAGCGCTCCGCAGTCCAGCAGCGCATCCACCCCCAGCTGCAGCGCCGAGTCCAGCAGCACCTGCCACACGGGCTGCTGCTGCTGCTGGGGGGCGGCCTGCAGCAGAGCGCGGGGAGTTGCGAGCTTGGGATGTCAGGAGCTGTCAAATTGAGGGCGTGAGTGGTGTACGCACGCAGGAACACACAGCCGTACAAGGCTCACGGTACGTTAACGGCGCCCAGCCCTTACAGCACGTTTAATAGTGCTGCTTTAATAGCTTCCGGTATGTCCTAGCATGCACGTATGTGGTATGTTCGTACCCTTGATGGTTGCAGTGTGGTGTAGCCCAGCGTGTGCTCCAGAATGACGGCCAGCATTTTGCCGTTGGTGGCGCGCAGCGAGTCATCATCCAGCTGCGCCTGATGCACTTGCAGCGGCAGCAGCCGGTGGTTGTCGTTGGTGCCGGAGAAGCCCACCACCGCGCCAGCCGCGTTGCCAGCCAAGTGCCAGGCGCTGGCCGCTAGGCGCTGCGGGAACTGCCGCGTCTCGACGGGGTAGACGCAGTGGTCGAGCCAAAAGTCCACAACGGCCATGTTGTGGCTGAGGTACCGGTGCATGAGAGCCATCTGCTGTGAGTTGCTGGTGTCCACCTTGGCCACGGAGCCAAACGAGCGGAGATCCTCTGTAGGGGGCACGTACACTGTGTCCAGTTAGCACGTAGGGTGAAACAGCACCGTCATCAAGCAACAGCTCCTCCGCGTAATTAAACTACGGACATTCTAAGATCCGGCAAGCATGTGCATGCAGACCCATGGGTCAACGCATGGAAGACAGCCACTCAAGTCAACCTACCGTCCTTGATGCCATCACGGGATAGTTTTAGCC